CAGCTCATACGGTTTGCTAGTGCCTGATTATATAAGCACCAGAAAGCTTTTGGCAGGTCATAAAACAAGATTTCCCTTCGTAGTATTACATTTTGTATCATCTTTGAACATGACTTTTTTTGCGATATAGAGGAAAATAAGTTGGAAATGGATCTTTGCTACTTTCTTCTTCTGTTATATTATCTTTCTGTCCTGTTTGATTGCGATCCTTCTGTTTCATGCTTGATAAAGTTATTTGGAAATTTGTTTTGTGCAGTTCTTCAGCTCTGAGGAAAGGCATGTGGAGGCTTGGTGTGGCACTGTAGCTGGATGGACTATTTTTGGCCTTCTACTTCTATCGTGTAGGTAGAATGGAGAAAGCCGCTACCAAAAAAACCCTAATGATGATCTCTCTAAGCACTGAACAATTGATATTGTCAATGTTACTCCTATACACTGTAAAGAATCAGTACTTTGAGACTGCTGCTATTTGTCCCCGTAGGTGCTTTGTATTTAGGTGTGTCACCAAAGTATGACTACACGGTGAATGGCTGCTGGTTGCGTTAGAGTACTCAAATACAACTTTGTTTCATTTAAACAGATGATCTGTCACAGCTTGTCCACTATACCTTCACAAAGTCAGTGTTTTGACATTCTCCAGACTGGCATCTGTAAATATCTGGTAAGTACCATTTTGGCTTCTATGTTAGCTTCCCTGTGATAAATTTTGTAATGGTCTCATTAACCCTCAAATCCACTTGTTACATATATTTAATGTGTACTTTCAAGATTTGCAAAAATTTTCAACAAGATAAGTGGAGTTTTAAAAAAAATAAATCTAATAACTGTTGGTACCCAAACTTACATGGATTTTTTTTTTGCTCTGAATAGTTCAGCTTGTTTTCAAGTCAGGACAGCCATAAATGAAAGGTTTCTTGGTTTGCTTTGCTTTTCGAAAGAGCGACTAGTAGCTTTAGATGAGTTATACAGTCTGTCGTCTTCTAATCCTGAACGCTCCCTGAGCTGAAGATGGGGATGGCAAAGCCAGAGCTGGGTAACAGAATTGTGAGGGACAGAATTTGCAGTTACCTGTGATGCTGCCTGCCTGGAGAGAGGAGACCTGTCTGTCTTCCTCTCAAGATGGTTCTGCAATTCAACAGGTATCCATAGTTCTCTGTATGGAGCCCCACTGAAAAATTAACAGACCAAAGCTTCCATAGGGAGTGGCTAACTGTAGTCTGGATTTTTGGGGGTAGGTGTTGACTTAAATCACAACTTTTACATCAGCTTGTGTGTTCTACTGTACTGTCTCTTTGAGAGCAGTTTTATAGTTGATTAGACTGCTGCCCAAGGTCTCTGACTGGATGATGACACCTAACAGGGAAGAAAGGCACTGTGTAGGCAGCATCCTATATAGGAACTTTCTTGAACAGTCTCATCTACTGAGTTTGTGTAAGTTGAAATGTCTGTGTTCGCATCATCTTCCAGACTGGCTGACTGGCACGTTTCATCAGCAGCGCTGGCTAATTTGATCTTCGGGATGCTTTATATGCAGACATCCATCTAGCTCACTATTATTATTTCCTATTCGTGGTTGGTCAGGAACATCGTTATTAGTTTTTTATTATTTAGTGCCTCAGTGTCCTGTAGCACTGAGCAGGGTGACAGTTGCAGTCCATCGTCTGTCACACAGGAGCACCGTCCTTCTCCTACCTCTGCAACTGGCTGGTGCAGGGGCAGCTTGGGACAGTGAGCTGTGCTCTTGGCCTTGGAATACACCTAATGTCTTATATCAGAAGTATTTAAAACTTTGAACCTGTCACTGTTGTCTCTTCTCTCTTGTGAGTAATCATACCAGTGAAATACATTCTGCATTTCTGTAGCTTGTACTTCTTTATTGATCTTTTTCTAAACATTTCTAAAAGAAACAGCTGACCTTGTTAACTGAACCAACTACCTCTGGCTGCTTAAAACAATGTACTTGCAGGTGAGCAAATTAGGCTACTTCAAAACTCCTTAAATTAGGTTTTTTATTAAGATAAATGGTGCCACATCAGCAATGCATTTTTTTAATGCCTTTACGGGACAAAAATTTAGGATCCTTACTCAGTAGGATTTCAAAAATTAAACTGCTTTTTAATTCACTGCCTCTATCCAAAAAAGAGAATTTTTTTCTAAATTCTTTTATTTATCATGCCTATAAAATTCTTATTCAAGATGATGCTTTATTTTAAGAAGGGAGGAGTATGGCCCCAGCTTTGGACCCACCATAGGTTTCATTAGCTTTAATTTAACTCAGCTCGTAATGCTCTTATTCCTGTCAAGCCTGTCAGATTTCCAAGGAGACTTGCCCTGATCCAGTAGCTGCTTTTCTTTCTGGAGAGTAAATCCGAGTTTCCTTCTGCCTCAGTGACTGCTCACTGCCGTTTCAAGGCACGGAAGGGCTGCCCTGTCCCATGATATACGCTTAAAAGGAAAGACCATTTCTGTCCAAAAGATTCTGTTTGTGTGTGTACAGAGCAAGGCTCAAAGCAGGGGGTTTTTGAAATACGTTTGAGACGAGTGTTTGTTTATGAGGAGATGGGATGAAGATGCCAGTTTAACCTTCTGTTGGTATGGGTGGCAATTTCTTAGGAAAATAGAGATTTGAAAAAATGAAGTAGTGCGTAGAACTTGAACAGAAAGGAAGTAATATATGTCACAATACGAAAGAGAATCATTTGGATGTATCATTTGTATTTGCTTGTACCCCAGCAAAATACTTGTGTGTAAAGTGATGAACTTGTTTTGGAGTTTTTTTGTTTGTTTTTAATACAGGTTGGATTGGTTGTAATACCTGATAGCACAGCTGGATCTGTTCTATGTGCCATAAATAAGCTCTTGGATCAAGCTTGCATCCTCAGTGAAAACCTGCACAAGTTCTTAGCCTCTTGTTGTTACAGTCTTCTGCACTTTTTGCTAACTTTAGAAAAAGAGGATGCAGAACATGTACAGAAAAGGTAACGCTGCTTTTCTTACCATGTTAATTGTCTCTGCCTTTATAACTACAAGTATTTAGGGATGTAAAATGAAAGGATCCCCCCAATTTATTTTGCTGTCTTCTGCTTACTTCAAAAAGAGTACTTTGGATTTAAGAACAACAGCTGCGAAGTTAGCTGGAATTATTTAAAACAATAACTGAAGAAAGTTTCATTTCAAAGCTTTTACTTACTGCAGTTGTTCCAGTTCGATGTCAGAACCATCCTGACTTTAGAAAGGTGGATATTTATACCTTAATCTTTAGCTTTAGCCTTTAGTTTCATTAGGTACATTGAAAAGCAACATGCAAAGGATTTGGCTTTCTAAGCTTGCACTCTTAACTGATGTGATAGTTCAGCTTTAACAAAACTTCTCAGGCATGATTTTATAGCCTGCAAATCCATTTGATTTAAAAAACCAAAAGCTGCAGATACCAGATTTAAATAAGTTTATTTACCATTATAACTGAAATGTCTTTAAACAGTTTAAACTTCAGATTTTTCCTCTAACTGTTCTGTATACAGTAAGGTTGTTCAAAGCTTACTTATATTTTAAGATGTGTTTTTTAAAGCGGGAGTTGTCCTTCACTTACTGTATTTAAAGACTTGCATATTACAAAAAGCTGATTGCATTGTTTGATTTCTCATGAGTCTTAAATAGATTCAGGTGTACCTGAACAATGACTGAAACAAAAACCTCTTCCCAGCTGCATCAAGCAGAAATTACACTGTGTACAAGCTTCAGCAGCGCTTGTAGCTCCAGGGCAGGACCTTTTTTTTTTTCCAGTGTTGTACATAATTTTAGAATATTTTCAAGTTTGGCATTTTTGGGTAGAAATTTTCTGCTTCAGCACTAATTATGGTGAAGGCAATTGGCATGATGGAATTCACGGAGGCACGTTTCTTTGTGCAGCTATGAAGCTAAGTCACAGGAGCGTACTTGAAAGACATGTCCTTGAATGCTTCAATTTTTGTCTCCCTTCCTGTCAGGGATATGCTGTGGGGATCGTGTATTTCTGCATTAGCACTCCTGCCACGATTACTGAGACTGATGCTGCAGAGTCTGCAAGTGAGCAGGATCTGTCGGGAAGAACTGCCCGTTGTTGCTCAGTTGCTTCGCTTACTAATGCAACATGGTCAGCTCAGGAGCCATATGATCACAAATGAATTTCTGGTGCAACAGATTATCAAGGACATCATGGTATGAAACTTCTTCTTGTTTCCCAGAGACTACAGGGCTATACTTTGTGTTTATGTTTAAACATTATTGCAAAGCCTGAAGGAGGGATGTTTAGCAAAACACAAGTTACGATTGTCTTTTATTTGCCTTGGAAGTGCAGGCGGTGTAGCGGGCAGCTACTTGTCTGAACTCCTGCGGTCATTGCACAGATGAGAGAGTTTTGAAGTTTAGCTTGTATCCAGGCCAGGGGCCCTGGACAACAGCTGGGTTCCTAACAAAAGGCACTGGATGTGGGTTACCTACACAGCCTGTGGGAGAGCTGTCCCAAAATAAGACACTAGTTCTTCCCGTTTATGGGAGCAGGGGCGTATAGGTGTATGAAGATGTTATTAAATCAAACTCTTAAATATGTAGGTGCAAAATATATTCCCTTTCAAATATCACAAAACCCAGCGCTTCTATTCACATGTCTACATTCCAGTGCTTTTGATACTATCACGGTTGCTTCTCTCTTCAGGGAAAAAGCTTGAAACTGCCTTCACACAAAGCTCTGACTAGCTTTGAGTGCAGAAAGTTTGTCTGATGCATAGGTTTCAATGAGTAAGCTACACACACCCGTTAGTAGCTTTTTAAAGGTCTGTCACCAGAAAGACGTCAGTGATGGCAAAAGCAGATGCAAAGAACATTGTGCAAGTTCTCTAACAGAATGAAGCGGTTGGGTTGTGGTTCTTGGTGTGGTTTTTTTAACCACTTATGAATGCTTAGGAGGGTGAATTACTGGCCTGTGGGCTATGCTTGTCTGTTGGTAACCAGTTCTCCTGTAGACTGAGGTACTGAGCTCTCCTGCTTTAGTAGAATCATGCTTATTTGTGTTTTAATTGACTGTAAATTACAGAATTGGAAAGTAAGCAAGCCACTATAATCAAGAGTAAGGAAATCCCATCTGGTGTAATTCACACACTTCATAATGTAACACCAACTTTGTGTACCAAGTGGTAACATTTTATTGACATACCATGGTGAAATGTATAAAGGAGAAGAATGATGTCACTGTGTGCAGGTGAATGAGGCTATCCTGTACTTTTAACAGCACACCTGACTCACTGTAAATACGAAGCAAAGCTTTACAAGTGCTGTTGGTGAAATTTGAGCTTTACCTTTTTTTTTTTCCTTCCCCCCCCCCTTCCCTTCTTTCTAGACACTGAAGCGCGGTGAAGTTCAAGAGCAGTGGCTAACAGACCTCCATTACTGTTTCAACATCTACCTTGCCTCTCAGCCCCAGGGACCCAGCCCTATAAACACAGTGTATTAAAGAGGTCAAACTGCATTTATTGTAAAGCATTTACTTCTATTTAGTTTTGAATGGAAGATGTTGGAACAAAGCTTGTCAATTTTTTTGTAAGTGAAACAGAATAAAAATTTTACAAAGAACTGCATACCTCAATTGTCGTGCTTTTTAAGCAAGTACAGATGTTACTGGAAGTTGGTTTAGTAGATGGTGGTGACCGTATCGAAGGGTGTTAAAGAAAATCCAGTCTCCTGGAGGCTTAAGTGCTTGCAGAGAAAGAGACTTACATTGACTCCAATCATCTGTTATTTCAAAGCATCATATTAATTAAAAGAATTAGAATTATGTAATACCAACTTGAAGAAAAAATAGAAAACAATATACTTGGAAACTAGAGTACCACTTTTTTATTTTTGCTGAGTTCATATTTTTAAATAGTTTGTGCAAGGTAAATACTGTACACTAGCAGCTCCAAAGTGATTATAAGGACAAGTTTTCTTCTAGAATAGGTCCCATCTTTTCTTCCTTTCTTTAGAAACTCTTTTTGTGCATGTACACAAATACAGTTGCTAACATGGAAAACATTGGTGATAATCTCAAATGGTAGAAAACACACCCCTAACAATTTCCATAGGCTGGGAAAAACAATTTATTTACCAAGTGGTTTTTGTCAGCATTTCTTCTTTTCCTTCCAAATCCATAGCTAGCTAAGAAACAGCTTGGTTCTTCAGTACAGAAGTGGAGCGTGAAGGCTGTGCTTCTGTTTGTGTTTAGACTTCGAAATACATTGAATACATTTGAGGTGAAATCGAACAGCAGCCCTTTGGAACTGTTACAGCTTTAGTAGTTTCCCTCTCCTTTGGAACTGCATTTGATGATCACATGCAAAATGCCTACTTTTGACAACAGAAAACTTTGGGACCCTCGCAACCCTGTTGTGATGCTGGGGTTAGCACTTCATTTTCTGTTTCCAAATGCGATTCAGGTTTCATCTTTCAGGAAATAAATTAACAGTTGTGTTTAAAAACTAACTTGTACACAAAATAAAATGACTCCAACTCCTTGGAAGTCTGCTTGGCACATAATGCTGAGATAATACAAAATCAAAAATGGGTTCAGGTTTAATATGTTGCAGGTTACTTGTATGTTATGAAAGAAAACAGTTGTATGGGAGCGTGCTCTTTAAATTCCAAACATTCACTTTTGCTTAGTGCTTCAGTCTTGTACTTTTTGATTTTGCAGCAGTCGTTGGTCTCATATTGTATGAAAATTGTTTTGATTTTCCCATGTTCTCCAGCAAATTAACACAGTGTAGGTTGTTTACTGAAAAAGAACAAAATGATTTATGATGAGTAACTCTAGTAGATAAAAAGTTTGAGCTACCTTGGGTTCTAGAGTTCATAAACAATGAATGGACCAGGAAAAGAACATGCCTTTTTCCTGACATCTCACTGTTGATTATCTGTAAATAAGAGTTTGGGTTCTGGGGCACCTGGTACAAGTTCTGTAGAAGGCTGCGGTGTATGTTTAATGCAGCCTGTAATGATGGAGCTGAACTGGAGCTTTACCCTCATAAAGGAATGAAGGTTTCCAGACTGAGGGTTCAGTCACTAACACGATGCTCTTGGCTGAGTTTGGTGAAGAGCAGCAAGAGATTTTGTTGAGAGGTATTTAGCAACACTGGGTAGTGGGTGGCTTCTAGAAGGTGGTGGTGGGCAAACTAGTTCAGGGCTAAAGCAAGTACTCTCTGGGGTATTAGAAAGCAAAAATGAATGTCAGCTGACATTCTCTTCAGTTTTCAGTCTGGCTGAATGTCTGGATTCATTCAGTGTTTTTATTTACTGTTATGTGCCACAAAAAATGGGTGTTTTCTTTCCCAGTTGTGTAGCGATTGGATGGGAACATTTCAGTGCTTTATCCCACTCTAGCCAGGGCAAGCCCAAGGGCAAACCTGAACATTTCATTGAGAGGGAGAACCCAGCTCGTCTTAAGGATGTCATTCTAATGCTGGGAATTGCAAAAACCTCCTCCTTTAACAGCTCTAGCAACACGCTTCAATGGCGGCAGTGCTGCAGAGAGCCTCTTTAAATGCCATTTACTGAATTGACAAAAGGCATCTATTTCATAAACAAATATATTTAAAAAGGAACAACTTTCAGGTTCCAAATTGTTTTAATCATAACAATCCTAAAAGCCCCTATTTGCCAGAATATTTGGAAGCACCTGCCCGCTGTCTGTGTATCCTACGGCACGCTCCTTTTCTACCCATCACACTCTGCACATTCCCCTTCGATACCTCCTGCCTGGCCCCACGCCAAAGCATTTGGTCTGCTGATGCCAAGAAGGTAACCGGGTTTGGTCTCAGTCTCCCATTACAGATTTGTCACTGCCTGCTTTTTCCACTAGCTCTGTGAACATTAAAACTAGGGCCGAGGGTCAGCCTTCACCTTCCCAGCTGTACCTTCTGCAAGAAAAGACTCAAACTGTACAGTCCATCCTGACCTACTCCAGGCACCTACGTCAACAATAGAGGATCTGGCATTAGCCACTGACAGCTCTGAACTTTTCCAACAGACATAATGTTGTCATGCACAAAGGCAGGCACATGAAAAACATGTTATTGTCTTTAAGTAAGGGCTAAAGTTCCCTGAGCTCCTATTAGGTGAATAAAAGTAGGTAGTGTTCTACAGGAACTGGGCAAAGTTCCTATCGCTATCCTATTCGTCACCAAGTTATAAAAGCAAAGGACGCTCAAGCCTCCAAAGAAAGGCTTTTTATTTCAGAAGACAGGGAGATCTGTTGTCCTGAAAAGTTAAACGAAAAGAAGCATTATTTGCTAAAGCTCTTTTAAAATTTAGATTCATGCCTGCATAAAGAGGTGGCAATCAAACACCTGTCCAATCATGCCTCTTCATTAAAACAGTTTTCAAACAGTGAAAGAAGAAAGCCTCTATCTCTTAGCAAGGCTGAAACTCACAACTAAAGAACTGAAGGATAGGTCTACTGTCAGATTCCCTTTTGCCTTAACAGTTTTGCAAACAACAAAAGTTGGAAAGTGTAGTTTGTTTCCCTTTGCAAATTATCTGAACTGCTGTCTCCTTGAAGCGTTGGCTTTGTTGCTGTCTAGCTGTGGCCTGCCTCTGAACTACCCGGGATCCAATCATGAAGACCAAATGACCAACTGGGTGCTAAATCCTCCTTACAGTGCTGTAGCTCTGTACTGTTACGCCCATCCCCGAGTAAGTGCATAATACACTTGAAAAAGTCTTAAAAATGCTGTTTAGTAAAAGAAAGGGTAGGAGAGATGACCTCTTCATTTTTAAGCTATCTGTCAACTAACGCCATATGCATGAGTGCCTGCCTTTAATGACTTCAGTAACACTTTTACAATCCGTGTTCTTTGCCGCCATTCTGCATGACGCAGTGTAGCTCCATCTGCCCGCCTGCATGGCTTGACAGGCCTAATGGTGCCAACCCTCCTGCCCCGATAGCTGTTCCATACATAACATTTCAAAGAGAATGCAGGCTTTCCCAAGCAAGGCCTTGTAATGACTACATGGCTTTTGAGTTAAGCAGCAAATAAATGCATGATTTCGTTACAGCCTTAAAACTTACTTAGTGTGAGTAAAACTCTGTAACTGAGGGTCTGCGCACAGCACAGGGACCCCATTATGCCGTTTTAGAAGAAAGGGCAGAGATCAGATGAATAACTTCGGATTTTTCAAGTTTTTGTCTGCACTAAACTGTGTCTTCCTAACAAATAGGTGGGCAAATTCTCGGCAGGGGTAGAAACCCACACTACTTACTTCTATAGGACTAGTAAATACCTGTGCTGCAGACCCAAAAGATGAGCATCTGTAAGAAACTGTAACCACAGGTGACTTATCTGGCTTATCACTGTACAAATCCATTATATTGAGGTCTTTCCTAAGTAACAGCCCAATGAAAACAGGTTTTCAGAGAAATGATTCAACATAAGGATAAGAGCACAGTGCTCAAGTAAGTCCAAAAGCAGTGAAAGAAAGAACGTGCAATTACAACGGTTTGGTAGTAATTATGTGTTTTGGTATGAGATCCCAGTTGAGCAATTTTTTTTTTTTTTCTTCTTCTTTCCTAAGATGAAACCAATCTTACATATATAAAAACATTAAAGTATTGTTAAAGTGTACATGTCCTACCTGAGACTAGCTGCACATCTGAAAGTTTCAGCTTAGAGGGAGGTCTTGTTGGCTGACACACTTTGCCTTCCTGAGAACGTCCTTTAAAAAACAACATGAACAGCTCTGTCTTTATTCATATAAAGATGTGGTTATGTATAGCTATAAACTATTTAACTGGGCTACAGCATTGTTTTATCCTAAAAATTATTCACATTTATGATGAGGAAACTTATGAGATGTTCAATATGACAAAATTGTGACAACCACAACTGAACTTTAGTTAAAATACATCTTGCAGTTGCTATAAAAAAGAAGGAAAAATAAAACTATTAGCTTCATTTATTTATTTTACCCTTTTTGGCTCTCTACAGAGCCATGCTAGAAGTGACTTACCACCTGTAAAGTACATAGAGTTAGCACATCCTTACCCCATCAGTGACCCACGCTGTAAAGGAACCCAAGGTTTAAAAGCAAAGCTTTTCCTCTGCCCCTTGTTCAAGATGCATTCCTTTGCTCCCTGCGTGCTCGGGCAGAGTGCAAAGCAGTGCAGTACTACCAGAAACGATGATCTTTTGCTCTTCCAATAAAGACCAGCTGTCTTCAAACAAGAAAGTTATTAACATGGAACAAGACCGTATTCTTCAAACGGAAATACTTAAACAAAAATACAAACCCCCAAAAGTTTAAAATGGTGCTTAAAAAAAATTAAACCATGATCCAGATCGCTGTGCATCGATACAGCCAGCTATTGCCATGTTACTACTCTGTTTTCTTTCCACGCTACGTGAGCTGCACTGGCAACAGAATTACTTGGTTGCTCAAGACCCTTGCTGGAGTAATGCTTTTGGTGAGCCAAACATCTCTAGCAGCAGCCATTTTAAATCACAGAGGTATTTTTTTTTTCAACCTGAAAGAGAAATACAATTATCCAGAACACCTGAAATTCAGATTAATTTCTATAAATAGTTGAAATCCCTAAGAATTAGGTAAGTATATAGAATACTCCAAAATACAGACAACAGTTATAAAAATAAAAGCATAGCTACTTAAAATAAAGTACAGTGAAGACAAAGTTACCATATATCTGCTTAAGGATGGACTGCTTGCTGGTTTTTATGGTTGAGCTGGTTTTGTTTATAGATTTCAGATTTTTACATGAAGGAACTGATTTCAGAGGGCTATGGTTCAGCTGTTTCTTCCAAGCAACCTGAATGAAGAAGGCAGCTGTCTCTTGTCTCCATTTGTCTTCATCTTCTTTGCACTGCCGCTTAGCACTAAGCAGCTGAAACAACTCCTGTCTTAGCTGGTAACTAGAGAGCAGAAAAGAGAAGAGCACTTGTTTTAGGTGACCTGTTTTAACTTCAGTGCTTGCCACGCATCAGTTCACATGGTGGATTACACGAGTAACTGGGAAAACAGAACTCCCACTGATGTGCTAAGTCATTTAGACGAGAAATGTTTGCTCAGAAGAAAAAGTAGGAGCTGGGTTCAGTTCTGGATGCATCCATTACTTCACACAGCAAATAAAGATCTGGCATTACAGGTATCCAAAGTTACAGTACTGCAACATTGGCTTATCAACTGCTTTATAATGTACAGAAAATCTGGAGAAGACAAAACCTATAAATATGTATAACAGTATAATCAATACTATATTCACAGCTTAGTAACAGCAAATTTTCTCATGTGCCTTAACCTCTTTGTATTCTCAGTCAATCAGTGCAAGAGAAGAGCCAAATCTACCTCTTAGGGGTTCAACCGCGTATGTCCTCTACAGAAAACCGAGCTGTTTTCCATCCACTCTCTGCAGATGCTCCCCTCACCTCATGATCAGCAATCTGCTCTTGCTTTTTTCCCCTTCCCTTCAAAGGCTGCCTGTCTCCCGACCCAACCTTGCCACTGCTGCTTTGATCTCAGATGCAGTCACAGCCCTGTTCCAAGCAGCCACAGTAGATTATCATCTGACCTTCTTCCCAATGGGTGGCTAACGGCACCAGCAACTAGGACTTGTTTGCTTTTTTTTTTTTTTTCTTGAATCAGATATAAGTAGTCAATCAGATATTGGCATTTCACACTCACAAGTCAATTAACTGGCCTAGCAATTAACTCTGAATCTTCCCAGTACAAACCTGTGACAAATGAACACTGAGTAACACTTGTAAAATATTAATTGTAAGCATTTGGTAACGGGCCATTGATCACCATCCCCTCCAGCATTCAAACAGTCTTCTACTGGACGCCCCGGGAAAAGAATGAGAAGGGAGGGAGGAAGAGGTGATTTTGTTCTGTTGCTCCATCTGCAACAAGTTCTAAATTAATACAGAAGACAACACGACCAGATGATAGAAATGGTTTAAATATATGTTATAAGCCAATATGAACTATGTAATTCAAATAAAACATCAGCCGTATATAGAAAATGAGTACATAAAAGCACAATAGAATGCCAAAGGGGGATGATATGCTCACTTACAGCCCAAATAATTTTAAACTTTCAATAAGCTCAGTAAATTATCTCTGTGAAATTTGCTATATCTGAGACAAACATATTTAATCTTAATTTAGTGGAGCTTCCGAATTCAGGCACGTCCTGTTACAGAGCTCATTAAAGTACATAACAAATGTGGGCAGCAACTCCATCTTACCAATAAATGTCCATAATGCCTGCAAGTTGCAAAGCGCTGTATGAATTCAGAACAGGAGCAGTATTACGGGACAGAAGAAAAAAAATGATCCAGTTTTGTTAAAAGTAACACGTCACTTAGAACTTTTCAACAGGGTAAGAGAGGAAAAGAAAGTGAAGAGGGGGGACGGGACACAATTACAGTGACTTGCTAAAATGACTTGACTTGCTAACGTACCTTGAGCTAAGGATGGGTTATGAGAATACTGCTGCAGGAAAAACAATCGCGGGATTGTTTTATACTTGAGCAGAAAAGAATACTGAGCTATTCTCTTGGAATTCCGTAATTACTGCCAGAAGCCTGTGCCGAGATGTGAAATGACCCATTCACAGGCACTCCACCTTTGCACCCAGCTGCGATGTCATGTTTGTAGAGAACTTCTGGTAGTTTTTAGCAACAAGAAAACAACTGTGAGGCTCTGAGAAGATGTAGGCTGTTATCTTTAGAGCCTGTGCACATTTTTTTTAATTCAGCTCTGCCTGATCCTAGTGAGAAAAAAGAACGGAACCGAGTTTGATGCCCTATGAATCTGACTGTGGTGCCTGAACAAAATAGCCAATGCTTAGTCAACAAAACTACTGCACATAAAAGAAATGTGGAATATACAGGCAGAATGACAAAGCTGGCAAATGGCATGCAGATTCGTTGTTACAGAGGCTCCAACCTGAAAAAATACTGCTGGAAAATTATGCGTAGAGCAACAATATATAAATAATTACAGCTCGACCCCATCAGGAGAGCAACAGTGAGAGCAGCCAACTTATTTCCAGCTTCTGTCAACTCACTATGGACCCTGGAGAACGGTACAGGCCTCAGCGCCTCTCACAAGAGAGCAAGCCAGACACAGAATCTGTAAGCCTCAACGAGCAGGATAAGCAATTAACCTTTGGCAAGCCACACACCTTAAAATACACTTTTGAGGATTACGTTTCTAAAGTTTGTGGACTGTGGGAATCAAAACATTTTCCCAGGAAAGACAATATACTTAAGTAGACCAGTACCATTGTGTTGTAGCTCACAATAGCTGCAATAAAATTTCAATAAGTAAATGATGAGTATGAAATTTGCAGAGTGAGACAAATGTATTTAATCCTAAGTTAGAGAAATGCAATGTACTTCTAGATGTTTCTAATGCAGAATTATACATTAACGATGTATAATTCTATTGCTGGCTACAAGTACATGCTATTTACCAGTGCAAGCCTGGACCCAATAGACAAAGACAGGACTGAGTGGGAGCCACAGCCAGACAGTAGGTACCTGCTTTAGAACTGTAATTCAGGGTACAGTGGATGGGACATTAGGTATTTCAGAGAGGGTGTCAGAATAACTTACATAGTAGTAGTCAGCAGATACAGCTGCCTAGTGTGAGCTAGCTGGAAACGCTAACCATGACTTCTTGGCAGGCCGGTGCCACCATCTGACTTGGGATCCACATCCTAAAATACCCGCACCATCTCTTTTTTTTGAGAGATATATATGAATTCTGCTTCAAAGGAAGAGGCAGAACTCTCTTCTTTTAAAAAATGAACGTTATTACTGTGGCAATAGCATGGAAATAGGGAGGAGGAAATCTGGTCCAATTTCCCAGCTCTCATCATCCATGTGAGTTTCAAAACACTCAGAGAATAAAGCTCACGTTGGGCTTGACGCATAAGCAGAAAAGGCGGCAGAACTGGTGATCCTGGGAGAGAGAACCCAGGAGGGAGGCACAGTGCTTCGTAACAACGTAGTGCCCTTCCCTCAGCATCGCTGACCGACAAACTGTTCTCTGCTCTGCATCGGAACATTTACTGAAATAAATGCATTATTGCATTGCTGCAAACTTTATGAAGTCCATCAAAGCTCTAGCAACAGTAAACTGTCTGCACATGTAACGAAATGACAGTGGAACTGCCAAACTAATCATCTCTCCTGCAGTCTTGCAGAATTTATGATCCTCATTAGTGTTCTATAAAATATGAGTTTTGCAAAAACAGAACAAATTCATTTTTCTTTATTAATTCTTTAAATAACAAACATCATTTAAACAATCTTTTAATCTCCACAATTTCTATAATGTTCTAAGTAAGTGCATGCACTTCTTGCTGAGATAACAGACCATCGCTGTTTCAGCAGGTGGATAGTTTAGAAAGATCTATCCAAAATCTTTAGTAGTCAAAACTTTAAATGGAATGCAAAGATTCCTACACAAGTAAGCTAGCTCGACACAAGGCTTTAGATCCCAGTTCTTGTGAGGAAATTTGCACAAGCACTCATTGCACATCTTTACGCTTTGACTGAAAGCTATGGCATGCACCTACTCCTCTGTAAGGATTTTAATTTGATATTAAGTGAAAACAGCATAGCCTTCAGAAGCAATAGTATCACTTATGGATATATCCTCCTAACCTACTCCTGCCTCACCTTAGCTTTTGATATCTAAAAGGGTCTGAACACATGAGACAAATTCAGGATCTAAATTAGAACAGAAGGCCAAGGAGGACATTGCCCGCACTGAGCTGCTTACATAGTGTTTGGAAAAATTTGGGAAGGCAGGCAATGTTTATTCAGCCTCTATCAAGCAGCAGAGAGAGCTGATGGCAGAAGTGGTGTAGCACTGTGAGAAGTAGCAGCTGCTCTGCTTTGCGGTTCAATGTGGGTATGAGGAATACGGCACAGAATCACAGAACCACAGAATGGTTTGGGTTGGAAGGGACCTTAAAGACCATCTAGTTCCAACCCCCCTGCTGCCATGGGCAGGGACACCCTCCACTAGACCAGGCTGCCCAAAGCCCCATCCAACCTGGCCTGGAACACTTCCAGGGAGGGGGCAGCCACAACCTCTCTGGGCAACCTGTTCCAGTGCCTCACCAGCCTCACAGGGAAGGATTTCCTCCTTATGGCCAATCAAACCCTACCCCCTTTCATTTTAAAACTGTTGCCCCTTGTCCTGTCACTACAGGTAAAAGTCCCTCTCCATCTTCCTTCTAAGCCCTGCTTATATACTCGAAGGCTGCAATTAGATCTTCCCGGAGCCTTTTCTTCTCCAGGCTGAACAACCCCAACTCTCTCAGCCTGTCCTCGATAGGAGAGGAGGTGCTCCAGCCCTCTGATGATCTTTGTGGCCTCCTCTGGACCCGCTCCAAAAGCTCCATGTCTCTCTTGTACTGGGGAGCCCAGAGCTGGAAGCATAAATAGCAAACAGAGAGCAAAGATGATAGAAGTACAGAAATAGGTGATACTGTACAAAAACCTCAGAATTTTCACCAAAAAAGAGGCTTCAAAATGAATTAAAAATATAATGTTTCAAAATTTTAACTTTTCACTGGAATAGGAATGTGCTCACAAAAGCCAGTGTAACTTTTATACTCCAGCAACAGTGATGAGATAACCTGGAATATTACTGGACTGGAAATCCAGCCTCATGCTGGGAAATATTTAGACTGATCAGTAAAAGAGCTGGAGCAAAGAGAAGTATTTGCTGAGCCAACACAAATGTTTAAATGGCCACATTTCAGTTTAGGGACTGCCAGCTGGACAGCCAGCTCAGACCACGGGGTGTCTGGTCTGGTGGCCCCTCCCTCGTAATGGGCAGCATCAGCTCTTTCTGAGAAAGACAAGACACTTCGTACTTCATAAGTTAAACGTAAAAGGAATGGGAGAAATATCAGTGCTCAAAACTCCACGAATAAGCAACTAGTAACACTTGTTTAGGTCCCTGGTGTTTTGTGCAATAGGGAACACAGGTTCCACCTTGCAAAATAAGAAACGAGGATTTTTTTAAGCCTGGAAGCATTGCTGTAAGCAGGCAGCACAACCTCATGCCTCTTTACTGCCTTTCAGAGCTAGGTGGTACTTGGTCACAAGATCCATTTTTGTCAGAACAGCAGGTTTGTACAATAACCATTCAGAACGGTTCTCACTTAACTTTTCCCGGCTTTGCTTGATGCAGCCCAGAGGACGTTACTGGAGCCCAGTAACCCTGGCTGGATGCGGTGACAGAGAACATGGACCCCGATGCTCCAGCTGCTGAGTGCTCCCCTCTGCTCCACGCTGTGGTTAGAGGGGGTTGGATGCAGATGCTGCCCTGCGCTGGAAAGACAGCTAGTACGTGGCACCAGGGGGTAGAAACAGCCCCTCTGAACCTCTCTGTGAGGGAACCAAAGCTTCCAGCATGAGCCAGAAGAAGGGAGGCCTACCAGTGACTCAGCATTGATTCTGCAGGCAGTTGGGCATTAAGACTTGATCCTGCCGTTGCAGGAAACTTGCAGGTTGCCCAGGGACTAGCATAAAGGAGGTGACTGCCCTCTATATGCTCCCAGGCATCTGCCAGCCACTCCCTTTGATACAGTTTGGTTGGGGGAACAATTTTTGCATCACTGCTGAACTATACCATAGGGTGTGAGAGTTGAGTTCTTGAAGGAATTTCCTTGTTATTTTTTCTTTAATTGAATACTAAGAAATATTAAAACATATAGGAAACTGTTAGGCTAGTGAGAGACCTGGAAGGATCAGTTATTAGTAAAAATCAGCAAATTATAGTTTTCTGCATCCACATAAAAACTGAAAAAAAAGTCAAAGGAAAATAGAAAATAAGAATTATGTACATATTATATGCTTCACCTACAGCTGTCATACTTTTCCTGTCAATTTTGATAAGAAATTAAATACTAAGGAGCACAAACATCAAGAATAACAGCGTTTCTGAGGTTGAAACTCATGCATTCATGAAAGCAGGATAATGCTGTGGAAAGCAAACACTGGGACATTTCATTCTCTCCTGTCTGCCTTTTCCATACAGCAGTTGTTCCCGCTCTATCAAGTTATTCAAATTAGCTTCGAGATTTCGCAGTGAACTTCCAAAGGTTCCAAACCTCTTGTGGTTTGGTTATCCAGCTAAAAGTCAAGTCAGAATACAATTTCAGGTGTGTCAGTAAATGGTGGTGAAGGATCTGGTTACAAAAACCTTTTCAGGAAAAATCCTGTATCCCTACATGGGCAAGTTTGCTAACGAACATGACAGCTTAGGCAAATCATCGTGGATACTCTCTAAAGAACTATCAGTGCTTGAAATAGAAGTTTAATAACTTCTGCAATAATGTAAAGTTACCACTTACCTTGCACTTTTTAGGAACTTACTAATGTAAGTCTAGGTGACTGGAACCCACTTCCACTTGTTTGGTGAAAGACTATTAAATTCCTGATTTAGCACTGGTAAATATTGTAAACAAAAGGACCAAATAAAGTACATTGCCAACAAGGCTAATTTAATTTATGTCTACTTGTATCTCACTCTTCTCTGGCTACTGAAACAGCAGTCTTACCTTCTCCATGTCCTCTGTATGACTGTAGCAGCGTAGTTCTTCTTCCGAAACAGCTCTTTTCTTTTTCTTTCTTTTTCTATTATCTGCATTCGAATCTCTAAAGGGATTAGTTCAATATTTGTACTTTGCCATGCGACAGAACATAATTGATCATCTGCATTCCTGGATCCAATTACGCCTGTTTTTTCCAAGTTCAGACTGTCACTGGAGGCAGAACACGCTGCTGGGTTTCTTGGCACTCTTCCTGTAGGTTCTGCCTCAGCAGACAATAAAGGGGAGGACTTTTTTGCTAATTCGTAATTTCCCACTTTGTTAGTTTGTTCTACAGCATGCACACTGTCATTTCTGGTGTTTACAAATACCGTTTTGGCACTTCCTGGTCTACTAGAGCCAGCTGGTGAACATCGCTCATCATTTACCTCTTTATTTCTGGATTTCTGCTGATGCCTTTTGCCTTTGGAAGAAGCTTCACACTGCTTTGAGTTCCTTGCAATTCCACCAGTACAACTGACATTGCAGAAGAACACAGCCGTTCCTTCGCAATGGTCTCTGTTGCCAGATGAAGACTGACTTTGATCTCTTAATTTTTCCCCAACGCTAGCAGTCCTAGAAGCAGCAGAAGTATGCCTTCTGCTCCTCCGAGCACAAGTACTAGTTGCCTCGATGGTGTGCTCCTTGTGCTTTTCTCCATCCAGTTCTGTAGCAGCCACAACCTGATGTTTCACTTCAACTTTTGTTCCCTCTTTTGCTTTGCCACAATGGAAATGGACACAACTTGACTTGCTTTTGAGGTGTTTCCTCAATGAATCTTTAGACAGAGAAATGGAAACAAACATTCAGTCTCTGATCCAGCAAAGCATAGTTTATGTCTCTAATTTTTTTGCTCAGTTAACTCGGAGGCACAGGAGGATTTACTTAAATGAGAAAAATGTATAAGCAGGAAGACTATGATTGCCTGGAACAGTACAGTCCCAAACTACTTCATTTGCTTACTGTTCTACAAGTATTTTTCTTTCTCACACTACGTTTGAGTTAGATGCCTAAAAAAGTTCACAGGGAGAAACTATTTCTTCACCTACCCAAAGGCACTGGTCCTCTCCAAAGAAACCAGCTGACCACGTGGCGCAGGAATTCAGCCTCATGAAGGCACCTGCTCGTCCCAGTGAAGACACCGTAGCAGACTGTCACTGTTTTAAGCTTATTTGCTAAACTTCTGCTCTAGCCACCTTGTATCCTGGCACATGGTGACAGGCAGGGTAACCCACAGGAAACCCAGAGCACTTGGCTTGTCAATATTTTCCTTGACATCCTAAATGAAACTATGAAGTCCTTCCCATTTCTCCCTTGCTGCTCTGTGATAACTGCTTCTAAACGCTCTTGTGAGGATGACTCGGAAGCCAGACTGGAGTGCAAAACTGAAAATCTACCATCTACCTTCCATTTTGTTTGGAAACTAACAGGAAAATGAGAAAATAGACCAGACGGGATGAAATGTAACAAGCAGAGAGGGTGTTAAAGCATAGGCAAGAGGGGAAAAAGAAAAGAAAGAGATCTTTGATATACTGGAATCATAGAAAATCTTATGGACTATCCAAAACCTGGTGAAACCATGCTGTATTTATCCTCACTGTAATGCCTTTACCGGATACTCTTTTGACTGGATCACAGAATATGGCACCTTCAGAGATTATACAGAAGAAACTAATGATTATCGTCAATGATGACTCCAACAGAGGAGATTTATCATAGTGACAGGTCACTATGGGCTGAAAGGCTACTATTATGCATGACTGTCATATGGGTAGATGGCCCATATGTTTTGGGACAGGAAAAAAATATTATTTTAATCTATTTTAATATATTATTAATTCAATTAATGATGGCTTACATATTTTGATCTATTATTTTAATCTCCCAGAATGGAGAAGGAAATTCCCTCTCTCTTGCATTGTACCAGGCGAATAGAGAATTTAAAAAAATGTGTGTGTTACAATTTAAAAAATGTGCCTTCTGATGCCAAGATTTCTATGGGTATTACGAAGCCAAGTAAATCAGCATGTTTGGCACTGGTTCTACAGCATGTAGAATGCTTTTTTACTTCAACCATAAGACATTTAAGTAGTATGTGCAAAACCTCCCAATCTGAACAACTGGGTAACTGGATAATGGGAAAAACATTATTTAAGTATTCTGGCTCATCTTTTGAGGTTGAAATACACTTTCTTTTATAGGAAGACCAAGCAATAACAATACAGAACACAAAAAAGAGCTTACCTGTTTGAACTACAGTTAAAGGAAATGAGAAAACATGCATAGGAAAGAGGATTTCTCTGTGGAGAACAGATCAGAAAAGACGCACCAACTAAATCACAGTTTTCACAGCCCACAGGATCTAAATTTCTATTTAATTCAAATAAAACATCCAATCAAGTCCATTAAAGTTTTGGTCACAAGGGGATTGATTAAAATGCCTAATGAAAACTGATTAAAGAACTTCATGATTCGATCCTTGCCTCATCAACTTTCCTGGCATCATTTCAACAGCGAAAAGAGAATGCATGCCCCAAAATGACACAACATTTTCTTTCAAACACAGGCTTTTTGGACTGGGCAAGAGGGGGCTTTCTTTACAATCTCTGAAGGTAAACTGGCCTCACTGGAGAAGAAGTAGACATGATACATATTTTCAGAAGAACCTTGAGCAAAGAGTTTTGTTCTCTTCATGTTCAATGCTCATGGTGAAGAAAGATAATAAACAATGGCAAAGAATTTTCTATTTAAAATTAAAATTCTATCTTTTGCAGAAATTATATTCTGCTTTCAAAGATATACTGAAAAGCAAAAAATCTCATGGCAATAGCCTATATGATTTAAAAATTTTACTTGTAGAACCATCAACATGGAAAAATTTTTCTGGCATAGCTACATCAGGAAATCTCCAACTTCAGGGAAGCCTTCAATCAAAAGTACAAGCTACATGCTGCTGGCATTTGCTGCTGGTTTGAATTACGTAGGTTACTGCGATGGGTAGTGTAGACAACTCAACATAAATGTGGTTTTTCAAATATAAGTATCAGTATTAGAATCCTCTGCAGAAAATTTGCAAATTCAGTCCTGATCTTTGTAGTCAGTTTGACTCCATAGCCCACGTTTGCCACAGACTACCTACTACCTACTTCCGTAGGTCATTCTCTCAGTGCAAAACCATTATATTTGTTCCAAGAAACAGTGGGAGTCTCACGGATGCAATGCAGTTTCCAGTGTCATAACCAATGGAAGATTTTGGCTAAGAATGGCTACTGGCGTCAGTAAAAGAAAAGGCTGTTTGTTCCTCTCTTATAATTTCTTCGTCTTTCTCTTTCTCTTCTCTCCCCTTCACTGTTGTAACTCTCCCCATATCTTTCTTTCTCATTTCCCGTTTTTGCCATACTTATCAATTTCTCCTCATTATGTTAATTACAAATATCGATTTTTCATTTCGCAACCACTGTTTCTGATTATTCTTACCTGGTTTACTTTGCCAGCTGAATATTTTAATTAATATAAAGTTAATACACTTGCTAGAATTTTTAACACCTCTGTTTATCATTACTTAGCTATCATGGTATATGCTAACCAAAGATACATGTCTGCTTTTACTATGACAATATAGTCAAGAATTCTGTTTAGCAAGACATTTCCATGTAAAAGCTAAAGAAATCTAGGTAAAATGATTCAGTAGGAAAAGCTCTTTGACTTTCTTTTCCTTTGGATTATTAAAATATTCTGATTAGCAGAGTTTCTGGAGGAATTAGCAGTAATTGTACATCTGAGAAGGAGTTTTTGCAACTTAAATAAACTACTTATCCAATTTTTGCTTCTAATGATAACAGACATGCTTAACACGACCAGTTTTGAAAGATTTGAGCCATAGGCTCCTATAACTGGATAAAGTCAGAACTGATTGAAATGTTCTTAAAATGGAAATCTTGTAAAAAATAATCTATGAGTGGTCAATAAATGATGATAAACTGATGATGCATTTACAGATAGAATAAAGGAGTGGAGCAGGGCAAGAAAAGTAACAGAAAGCCTTGGCACACTGTTTCATAGTACATTTTATGAAAACAGTTTCACTTCTCAGAAAATATCCTAGTGTTCTGAACAAGAGGACTTCAAAGACAAATCATGGGAGAACCCTGTCATGGAGAATGAAGCTGCCTGAACGTCTCCCTCTGTATGCTAGAGATGTCACTTAGAACAATTTTACCCTCATTTTAACCTTGTTTAAAAACAAGACTTACAATTTCTCCATTAACATTCTTCAAGAATCCCACAGATATGCCAGATATCTTTAATCTCATTTTCTCCAAACAGCGCAACTAATAGAACAACTCCCAACAACTTGTTCTCACATATTTTAGGCATTTTCACAGACACTGTAAATAGTGGTATTTTTGACTACTTAAGTTGACAGAACACACACAGTAAAAGAATCTGTACGTAACTCTGTCCCACATGAATTGCTTAAAGAAAGAAAGAACAACAAAAGCTAGAAAGAGTAAAACAGGTCCTGTGTATAAAACACCCCCAGACATGGACAAAAAGGACAATGAGGACAATTACAAAAGATTACAAACCTTGTTTGATTTTATGACCTTCACCCTGAGGCTCTGCCGACAGGCAACTCTCCTTTGGTGTCCCTTTGTTGTGACAAGCTTTAGGTGAACCTCTACTGTTTCTCCCTGGTTGAATTTGCGAAGCGCTGAGGGACAGAGGACTCTTATTCTGTATATCAGATGGTTTATTAGGTAACTGCGAGATGCTGGTAGTCTTCTCTCGATTTGCAGGATTCTGTTGTACTCGAAACCTATTTTGTTCCACATTCTGCATCCCTTTCTGCAGCTTGGCTTCTTTTCTCTTACTTTCCTCTTCACGTTTCCTGTAGTAATAGCCAATACCATTAGAATTCCAAAGACAAAATTTTGGGAGCATGTATCTAACCTGAATACATGCCTCTCTAGAAAGCTGGCACTACCACAATAAAACCTTGACTATAACATCATTTTTTGTGAGAAAGGGACACCTATTGCATTGAAGTGTTTTAGCTTGATCCAAAATAACAACTGACTTGCAGCTACAGCCTAATGAAGGTTAAGTTCTTATAAGCCAGCTGCCCATTCAGTTTGCGGTGGTTTAAACTGATTTTAAAACACTCTCTTATTTAAAACATTGAAACTTAGGCATTTTATAAATATAGAAAAATGAAAAGTAGGATGTGAAAAGGTGTCAGAAGACAAGAAACATGATCATAATATCTATGCTTTGAATTAGTAATGAATGATGCTTTAATATAAGTAGTAATGCTGTATATGGAAATCAGAAAACTTTAATAAAAGACATCATCTCTTTGAAAATTATTTTTCTTACCTGTGTCATACTTAATACAGACAATTATAAACCAACTTCAAACTAGCTACTAATACTAACTTGCTGCTATATATTTATCATTGGTAGATAATTAATTTATTTTACATAAACGTATTACACATTATACAAATGATAAATACTGAAAATACATGTGAATTAAAAACTGGCATGCACATAGTATGCCAGTACAATTATTGCATTTAGGTTTTGAAAATGAAAGAAGTTATGTATCTCTTAAATAGCGTAGATATAAAATAGAATTTTGGACAAGGTTAGGAAAGGCGCATCTGTTGAATAAAGTTTTGCAGCCTATTTTGAAATACAGTGGGATGTCATTACACTTTAGGTTTTAACTTCTTTTTCCTACAAAGCAGAATAAACCCAATAGCACATAGCAAACATTACATATCTACCTACCATTGAATTTGTTTTTATAAATTAAGCACCGGTTGTGAGATGAAGTGACACTTTTCCTGTTGCAATGGACAGGTGGTAAATGTCGCATCATGTAGCTGCCTGATATTTTAAGTTGCTTCCAATGCTACAACGTAGTTTGCAGACTGTTGACACATTAGCTTACAGCACAGCATATGACAGGTTAGTTATGCAGCATGCCATCCTCAGTTCCTGTGAGTCGTATCAATGCCAGTATATGTCATTTCAGTGTGAGCTGCCAGGGAGAAGCCTTAACTTTATCTGTCAGTACTATCTTATCAAGTACGCTCTGCAGAAGCAGCTGATTGAACTTTGTACCTGAAAAGCTGCTAATTGATCTAAAAAATACACTCCTGGCAGCCTGAGGTTCAGTATTCCCTCTGGCGCAGAAAAAAGTGGCTAGTTTCAAATAATATCGGCGTTCCACAAACAGACTATGTGGGGATGTCTGTCTTGTGTACAGTATGGATCTCATTGCCATTGCTCTGCTGTTTGAGCTGATAAATCAGATCTTACTATTCACAGAAGAGTAATTTTTTTTTTCTTCACAACAATCAAGCAGCCTATTAACAGTATCCTCCATTCAGAGTATTAGAAAAGAAAGTATGAGAGAGGTTGTGTGATACACAATCAAGCCCAAGTAGCCTGCACTCTTTGGATGAGCAGATTAACTCAAAACATTAACTTCAGCAACATACCAATTGTAAAGTTATCGAAATGACACAGGGCTAGAAGTTGAGAAGAAGTAAAAGGGGATTTTTTTTAAAAGGTCTTGTGTGCTAAAACTGATGACATAATAAATGGAAAGGATTTCAAAGCTCCCTATTCATAGATCATCATCCTAATTGTCACAGTAGAGCTTAATTGATTAACAGATTCCTGAAGAATACTTATGAACCTCCCCTTGTGGTTGGCTTTATTTAGTTAGAAATGCAGTTTGTTTTACAATGAAGGATATTTTCAAAATTAAAATTTCCAAGTTTTACTGTTGTTTAAGTTGAGAGACTAGGTTTCATAAACAAGTAAAGCAAGTAGACGAGTTCCTAACTTAAGGGCTCTCAGTCATTCTCAGGAGGTTCTGGCAATGCAGCAGGATTAAAATTTTGGCTCTAAAGTTAGAAAACTACTCTGTGATAACAGAGCTGGCATGCCAGAATTTTCTACTTTAATTGCAACAGAATTTTGTCCTGAATGGTCATAAATTTGTATTTCATTACAAAAGTGAGAGAATGGAAACTGAGCTTTTAGCAGATGGAAAGGAACTGTTTCAGCCTTAAGCATTTGTGAAAACACAGAGATGCTTTGAATTTTTGATCCTGCTAAATAAAATGAAACCAACCTTTTCTATTCTGTTAAGAACACTTTGCTTTTTGTATCTACTCTGTGGAAGACATTTTAAATTTAGAACATGTTCATGTGCCTGGAGAGCATTTTTGAAGTTATCCTTTAAAAAAAAAATTTACTTAATAAATCATAACTGAAAATAGATTTCCAGGTATGATCCTACTGCTGCTGAAGCTTTATATGGACTACGAGGAGTTATAATTCGTGTTGTATAAATAGCCATCTCCTGCTATATAATCTATACAACCTAGATGTTTGTTTTTGAAAGTATGACACTGTTGAATCACATGTTCAGCTTATGATCTACAACATTTTAACAGATAGTCCTTAACAAAAAATGCTAAAAAGACAGTTAATTTCCATCCAGTATTCCTATGTTGATATATCTTGTCAAACGTGTAGACCACCTATTTTTTTCCTCAACCGTTTCTCATATGTATTAACACCAGTCTGATTTCTACTTTAGTCTTCAGTGTGCTTACAAGTCTTACGCACCTTGGTGCCATTTGGAAATTGAACATTTTACTTCTTAAATGAAAATACTGCATAGTATCGGATTCAGGATGGATTTATGCAGAATTCTCATGAATACACACTTCCAGTTTAAAGCTGAAACATTGAGAACTACTCTTTGTGTATGTTCTTCCATGCAGTTTTCACCAATCTAATAGCAGTTTAATACAAGCTACATCGCCCTACTTTGCTAATGAGAACAGCGCATGAGCAAGTATGAAAACTTCAGGCAGGTGTGAATGACAGCTGATGTTTCTCCATGTCCACAAAACTTGTTATTCTGTCAGAAAAGAAAATTGAGTTGGTTTGATAGAATTTGCTCTTAGCAAAATCAGACCAGTCATTACTTCTTGCTTTGTTAGGTTCCAGATACATGGTCCTGGGCAAGCTGCTCTAGCTGACCCTGTTTGAGCAGGTGCAGGGATGGACTAGATGATCTCAAAAGGTCCTTTCCATCCTCAACAATTCTGTTATTTTTGGGACTGAAGTTCATAGGTCTATGGACTCCTCTTCCCCTTTGAGAAAGCAGACACTTTGCTCCAGTCCCACTGGTCCTCCTAAAGTTTATAAGGGTACCCATTTTAAGATTGTATCACCCAGTTTTCTAAACACCTCAGGATGAATTTTATGAGGCTAAGCTGATCTGAAAGCACGTCACTCATCTGATTAATCTCTAAACTGTTGTTTCAGTATTTTAGCCTGCCTTGCTGCCCTTCATTACTACTGTGAATTCCATTTGCTATTGGACATCATTTGACATTTAAGGAAGACTGAAGCAAAAAAAAGACTTCTTAGCATCACTTGTGGACCAACTCTTTGCTCTTCCTTTTACAATGTGGATGTTCTCAACGATTTATTGTGATATCTCACATCTCTTGCTAGTTCTTATTTTGCACCTCAGCTTGTTTAATTTTATCATTGTATGTTATTATTACCCTCAGTGTTATTCATTGCACCAAACTTCCACTATGTGCTTTCCCTTTTCAGGTTGCTGAAGAGCTCATTATTTTCTCTCTTGCTACACTTCCTGTCTTTTCTCAGCGTGCAGGCCTTACTACCAGTATTTTGAAGAACCTCAAAATCTACTTGTACTCTATTGCCACTACATTTTTTTTAAATCTATTGAAGGCTGTTTAATTGAACTGTTGCATTTTCTTGCTGTTCTTCTCTTCCTAAATATCATGAGTTACTTACTCTTACTGACTTTCATCCATTTCCCTTCCATACGCACATTCTCAATCAGTTTCCTCCAACTGGTCAGAATGAAATCCAGAAGACTTAGTAAAAACAGAAGTATGGATTCAGGACCTTATTCTGAGAAATTCAAAGGGAAGGTGAACAAGTGATGAATGAGTTCTGCAGCCCTTTCAAAACCCGATATATTGGACATCAGTTTTCTCTGAATATACTTTAAATCCTTAAATATGATATTCTTAAAGACTTGGTTTTGTAAAAAAGTAAAACAAAAGCCTCTTTCTAAAAAAGTTTGAAAAGACCATCATTTTAACTGTACGTAGTCTGACAGACTGTTTTTTAAATGCCTCCTTCCCAGATTGCCTCTGTGCTACTCTCCTAAAGCACTGCTTCCCTCCTGCCAGGTTCTCCATCCCACCTATTAATAACCAATTAATTTCACTCTCACTGAAGAGCACCTATTCTACTGACACATTTATGGCTGTTAAAATGTTTAATGCTAATACATCTCATCCACATTGCCCTCTTCCAAAAGATCACAGGATCATAAGGTAACACATATTGGAAGGGATTTTAGGAAGTCATCAAGGCCAATGTCCTGCTCAGAAAAGGTTCAACTACGAGGTCAGACCAGCTTTCTCAGGGTTTTATCCAGGTGAAGCAGTCTTCAGTTCCCCAGGTTGTTCTTTTGGCCCTTTTTGAAGTTGGGTGCAACATTTGATTTCTTCCAATCACTGGGGACCTTCTCTGACCTCTGTGACCTTCCAAAGATGTTGGAAAGTGGCCTTTTAAGGACCTCAGTTAGTTATCTCAACACCTTTGGATGCAACCCAGCTGGTCCCATGGAATTGTCTGGGCTGAGTTCTCTCAAGTGATCCCTGACTTAATCCTCATTCATAGCTGGCAGTTCTCCTCCTCCTTCTCTAAGCACAGAGGCCTGGGAGACCTTCTTGGTGAAGACGGAGGAGAAGGCGGCATTGAATACTTCTGCCACATCTGTATCTGTTGTCACTAAATCACTCACACCATTCAGCAACAGGCCCACACTTTCCTTGTTCAGCCTTTTACTATTAATGTAGAGGCAGAAGCTCACCTTGTTACCTGTGACATCTCTTGCAAGTCTCAACTCCATTTGAGTTTTGGCTTTTCTGACACCATCCCTACATGCCCAAGCAATGTTTTTAAACTCTTCCTTTGCAGCCTGTTGCTGCTTCCACCTCCGGTATACTGCCATTTTGCATTTGAGCTCTGGCCTGGCTTCCCTGCTTAGCCAAACTGGTCTCCTGATATGTCTCTCTGCTCAAAAACAGTGTGCATGTTGTTTTGGCCTGCATCAATCTTCATTTTATAAATTACCATTTATTTGACACAGGTTTGTTCAACATGGGAGAATGTGTTTGTATATAAATATTTCACAGGCATTGAATACAGTGAATGTAACTTTACCAGAAAACAATAGAGGTATGAGATGTTGGTTGCCTTTTTGTTAAGGAAAAAAAAAAAGGAAAAGGAACAGACTAATTACAAACATGCAGACTTATGAATTATTTATATTAGTGAGACTCTCCAAAATACCATATTACAAAGCATGTTTTAAATACATGCACTGAAATAGTTGGGGTGGGGTTCAATCTAGGAGTTCACCATCATTCTAGATTTCCATATAATGTCTACTTTTATCTGGAGAGCAGATTTTTAAATATCAGTAGGGATATTAGGTTTTTGTATATAGCAACACCCTGGCCAATTTTAGCTGTGGAATGCACAGATGGGTATGCGGAATGATGACAACATAATGTCCCCTCCAGTTTATTACTGATCATAAAATAGCAATTAAATAAAATTTGTTATGTGACAACTTGATTTGCTTGTACACTCCAATTGTATTTTAATTCTGTTTTTATGATATTTGGTACACAGACTTTGTTTCTATTGTTTTCAAACAAATCAACAACAGCTTAGTAAGTTTCAGAAAGTATATCAGAAACTCACAAAGGAAAACAATTATAAAAGCCTTTTTATCATCATACAGAATATCAGGTAAGTACTCATGGATGCTCATGTGCTAGTTTCTCAGCTTTTGGTATTTTGCCTTGTTCTTGTATATTATATAAACTTTCTTATTTAATTTGGGATTATCTGGGAAATAATTTCCATCTATAGGTGTATGGAAAATAATCCATAATATGCTTCCTACAGTTTCATGAATTTTACTAAGAGGAATAATAAATGATGATGAGTAACAGATAAAATCATACATTGATAAACACAAACTTATGACAAATGTCTATTTGCTGGAGTAGATTTCAAGTCTCAGACTTACTTGGCAGCAGCATCTTTTCTCAGCTGTTCATGCTTCATCAAAAGATTCTTCCTCTCTTGAAAAGCCTTTCTAACTTTGTATCCTTTGTAGACAGCCTGAATTTTGAAAGCAGCAATGTCCTGTATGGCAGCTATAGACAGAGCCCCGTGTTCTAACATGAACTGAATCACTTCATGGTGTTCACCAAGCAAGGCATAATCAAGTGGAGTATATCTAAAAAAAAAACCACACCCAAAACAAACCCACAAGAATTATCATTGAACTAGAATTCTAACCACAATGTGCATTAATTCATCCTCATTTCATAATAAGGCAACTTCTAGTAAGAAGACAGGTTAAACACTCTTTTCATTAGGCTGTTTTACTAATTTTTTATGTTATTTTCCCATCTGACTCATTCTACACACCATGACTATGTTTAAGGCTTATTTTAGTCTCCTAATATAAGGGGGGCAGGGGAGAGGCAGACTATATGAAGCACTGGATCAAAATCCTCCAAAGCCCTATCCATAGAATTAACTGCTTTAGGCAAGCAATCTTAAAAAGGTGTTACTGAGGTGCTCACATAGAAATATAATCAAAATAAAAAGCACGTTAAAACAATTTTGTGTTATTTCCATATGAATTTAAGTTCTAGCACTTTACTGTCAAATCTGGCTTAGCTTCTGTAACAATGACTGAGGACAGTATGACTGACCAAGCAGCAGGATTACACCTGCATCAAGGGATAATATTTTTTTTAAAGCACTAGGAAGACTTAAGTCTGTTTTCAAATGGACACAGGTGCTTAAAAGTATTAAATGCCTTTGGTTTTTAATGCTGTCAAAGATGCCTAAGCTCTTTCAAAAAGAATTCCCAAGCTTCCCATTGTCAACACAGGAGCAAAATTTGCATACCACCCTTACCAACACTGAAACGTCAGGCAAAGACATTTAGTGACTGAAAATTATCAGTCACAAACCATAATCAAGCCCATATAATACAAGACTATCAAACAGCAAGTGTCAATGCATGCAATTGTGAAAATTAAGGCTCTTCTTGATAGTAACTTGCTAGGACGCAATGCTGGTAAGCAAAGCAAAACAGACAGAAAGCACAATTGGACTTGCCACGGAGCAATGATTTGATGGAAGGATTAACAGTATCTGAACTGAAGTGTCTGCAGGAATAAAGACAATGACATAACATGAAAATTTGTATGTCAAGGTGTGCTTCTGATAGCATTGAAAGAGATACAGATTTTTGATAACCCAGGAATGGGAACTTCAGAAGGGACCTCATTTCAGAAAAACACATTTTAAAAGTATGTCTAGTTTTGAATATTTTAATCAACACACACAAAAGATACTACAGTAAACATTATGCTACTGGCATGTATGTACCAAGACGATCCCAGTCATGAAGACCCATATTTTTAAACATGGATTCTCTAACTCCATTAGAGCTACCTTTGAAAGTAAAAAAACCCAACAAAACCAACCAAACAAAACCAAACAAAAACCCAAAACAAAACAAAAAACCAAACCTCAAATCAAATCTGAATAGGGGTTTGTACAACTGGACACTACCCATTCAAAGCTGCTCACATATGCTCCTCGCAACCAGCCATTAGTCTGTTGTGTCAGTTCAAAGCCTGTTATAAATTTTCTTTTCCACTGGTTATCTCTAAAGCAGATAGCTTTTAAATCAAGCTGGCTTCACAAGAAAAAACACAAAGAAGACATCAGCCATCAGCTGCTATACGTAATTTAGCATGAAGTTGGTCAAGCAGCAGCTAGCCTGGCATCACGTGGTGCACCCAGGACATCAAGTTGGATTTTGAAATAAAATTGTAAAGAACAACAAACCTACCACCCTCCAGAGTAGCACTTGATCACATATCTGCAAGCAAGTGGGCAGCTTAAAATCCTAGATGCAATCTCAGCTCCATCTTTTCACAAACCTATTTAGTTTTAACCATTATGTTTGAATTTTGAACTGGTATCTCATATTGCATTCTAAGAAAGGGAAGAGGGAAGCTTCTTTGTACAGGTATATTGGAAAAAAAATTACGATTTGGTGAAATTATTACTGATTAAAAAACAATTTCATCCAATTATGGATGAACCGTATCCATGAAGTTATTTTAACTCTCTCTTACAACACTCAGCTTGATTTTTCCACTCTTCAAACTTCTGATCTTTTAACAATAAACCAAGGTTTTTTAGATGTTTATTAAGAGGCAGTTGTGCAGTTTTTATATACAATATATATTTTTTGAGGAGAATTACATTTAAAGGCCGATTCATCTAGAAATATTGGAGATCTGTTTTGTTTTGCACATGGACTAGCGCTTAAGGGCTGACACTTGGCATACTGCTAGTTATATTTTGAGTAATCTAGGTTTATACGTAATAACATATATTAATGCCAGACGGGAAACAAAAATAGATACTATCCAAATGACTGGAGTAAAACCACAATTAAGGTATTTTCCTGACATTTGAGCATCATTAGTACATTTCTACAAGTTAAGGAAAATAGCAGCCTCCTTTCTGGCAAAATAGTGGCTTTTAATATTACTTCTTAAGAGTAATTTAATTACAACTGTTTATTTAATTTTCTTTCAAAAATTACTAAAGAAAGCATTGGCACTACTTAATTAGGAACTACTTATACTTTCATTTTTGTTTCTCAATAAAAAATAAGAACAGAAAAGCAAGAGAGATCTGAGTGGTACAGAGTAGAGAACAAAAGAGAAATGATGGGGGGAAAAGAGCAATTAAAAACTGGGATACTATGGAAGTCTCAAATTTAGCACTGAAATATGGGGTTTAGAAATCCTTAAGTTATTTAAAATGTCGAAATATTCAAATTTATATGGCATACTGATCATCATTTTATTTATAATTATGAGGAGGTCATCCACTCTAAAAAAGGGATTATAACTTTCTGCTAATAGTAATTATCTTCACGGTCAGGTTATTAATTCAAACTCCACAACCCAAATCACTTTTAAAAAACCATTATTTATATGTCAATGAAAGACAAAGAGATGCAAATGTACTGTCTCTTTATGATTATAGGAGGATTTTTTTTTGTAAACTAGGCCTTTAGAATACAGTTAACCACCAGGTAATTTGTAATCACTATTTTAAAATATAACATTCCATTTCTCCCATTTTCCTTCCTCTCACTGTATTCTTACCAAATAGAAAAGAAAAATTCCAGTCTACTCCAACAGCAGCAGAAATGCCTTTTTATCCTTTGTCCATACATACCCACTGTGAACTTCATATAAATGAAAAAGATCTTTAATATTTCAAGATTAGAATGAGTAAATACTTGCTGAAATCTCTGGAAGTTCAAGGTTCAAAAATATAAAAGTTGAAGTTGCAATGCCTTACTTAAAGAAGAGATTTTTCACATTAGAAAAGCTGTTTACACTGAAGCCCAAGACTACAGCACTCCTTTTAGATACAAGATCATGATTCTCTGGCAATATCTGAACACAACATTTAAATCAGCAGGTAGCACTTTTGCTAAATTACAGAACAATGCATTCAGACACTCAATACCTCTCCTCACTGTTCTCCATATGATTAGGGAAAGCATCAAACCCAAGCAGCAACTTTATAGCATCAAGGTAGCCGTTGTTACAGAGCCAGTGCAAAGCAGTTCTTCCCTGTAAACAATAGAACAGAAAAAAACCAGCTATTATCCCCAAACTCTATCATGCCACAATAAAAGTTGTAAATCATACTGTAATTCAATGCTTTTCTGGACACGAAGGACAAACTAATTCTTCTAAATAGACTTCCTTGTTAAAATAAAAGAATACTGCACTAAAAAATGAAGTAACTTTTTGTTTGTTTGTTTGTTTAAACAAGACTAAACCAGAAGTGCTTTTTCACCTAAAGCAGCTGAAAAGAGCATTAGAAGAGTTGCTTTCTTTGCAGCTGTGCTACCCAGGTCTGAAGCAGCTCTCAACAACCTTTGTAGTTCAGACTGTTTTCCAGGTTGCTCCAAAACACTGACTGAAAGAATTACTATAGAATTCAAAATCAAAGTTTGAGGAAAGCTTATCAGCCCACACAAACAAAGATTCCACCTGTGCTTTCAAAACAAGCTTGATTTCATAGAATCATAGAATCACAGAATGGTTTAGGTGGGAAGGGAACCATCTAGTTCCAACCGCTCCGCCACGGGCGGAGACACCCTCTACTAGACCACGTTGCCCAAAGCCCCATCCAGCCTGGCCTTGAACACTTCCAGGGAGCGGGCATCAGAAGTCTAGTTTCAGAAGTCTAGTTTCTCTCATATGAAGCCCAAGTCCAACTCTCAAGTTGCACTCTGTACAGCCAGCTCATATATGACCACTCTTGGGACTGGGATCACAGAACGACAATATGAACACCTCAAGCTCTGTTAATATCAACAAAACATAGGTATTTCACTTCATTTCCAGGCCATGCCTCCTGCCTGCCTCTTGGTTTTCTGAACTTGAAATGTAGGAAATACCTAGAAGGCTGGGTACCACTGAAAAACCTGAAGATGTTCTGAGTTCAGTGCTAGCAAGCTGTCCCATGAACCCCAAGGGCTGAAGAGCATGCTGCAGTGTCTCTGTGTGAAATAGGTGGAGCTGATGTGTTCAGCTGTACTCAAGCTGATGCCATACAGAGCTGGTAGCAGGTTACAAAATCTCCCCCAGGATGCTCTGTAGAACTCATAATAGAAACCACTTTTCCATTACCTGGAACTATCCATGCCCTACAATGAATAGCTACAGAAAAGTTTAACAAATTGGGTGAAATTCTTTTGATTGCTGAAGTTCTACTGACTTCTGAGAAATTATGTCATATAACAGAGAAATCTGTTATGTGTTGCACAATGATTCTGGGATTCTGGCTCCTAATTTCTCTTAATGCTTGAATAATGGCACAAAAGAACATATAAAGTAATCAGTGTGTGTTGGGTTATTTTTTTCACCTGGAAGAGTAATACATTTGCGGATACTTATGTGGATAAGTAATTGAAGCAGTTCTTGTGCAATCTCACTTGCAATATCATACTTGCTCTCTCTCTACGCTGAAGAAACACATTACAGACTATAAAATCACATTCCCCCGTCAGCTGTTAATAAGGAACAATAGAAATAAAGAAATCAGATGATTAATGGAGAGGACTGGAGATGGACTGTTTATAAGGGCATGTAGTGATAGGACAAGAGGTAAATGGCCTTAAGCTGAAATAGGGTAGATTTAGATTAGATAGAAGGAAGAAATTCTTCACTGTGAGCATGGTGAGGCACAAGGAACAGGTTGCCCAGAGAAGCTGTGGATGCCCCCTCCCTGGAAGTGTTCAAGGCCAGGTTGGATGGGGCTTTGGGCAACGTGGTCTAGTGGAGGATGTCCCTGCCCGTGGCAGGGGGTTGGAACTACATGGTCTTTAAGGTCTCTTACAACCAAAACCGTTCTATGATTCTATGAGTCAAGATTTTAGAAGTGAAGTCATAGGGAAAATTATGTCAGGATGCATTTCCTTTCGTGATATACAGCAGCAAAGATGCTTTTATGTCCCAGAAAAGAGAATGGCTTTGAGAAAAGGAAAACGTTTTGATTTACGGTTATTGTAAAGTTAATGAAATATACTAGTGAAGAACAACATACCTCTTTATCCTGGATATTTGGATCTGCATTGTTTTCCAGTAACACTACCATGCAGTTAATGTAACCTCCATAAGCAGCACATTGCAGAGGTGTTCTACCTGCATAATCCTGCACATTAGGGTTGATTTTATTTTCTATCAAGATTTGGCACACATCAGCATTTCCTCCCAGGGCTGCCCAGTGAAGGGGTGAATGGCCATCTTGGTCAACCAGATCTACTCTTGCTCCTCCTGTAACAACAAATACATTCTTGAACATAAAAAGAAAATACTTTTGAATGCGAAGGAAAGAGTAAGTTTATGTTCAGCTAGAACTTATTTGGTAACTGACTATTCAGAGAAATATTTCTGAAAGTAACTTCAACTTTGTTACTCAAATCCTAAAACCTAAATCAAAATTAATTGGGAATGAAATAGTTTCAGCAAGGGTCAGGCATCTAACTTTTTTAGAAGCTTCTGAGTATCCTCTCACATGCTTTAAAACCTCCAGATTTGTCAAGTGCCCTTAAAAATCTAGCCTTTACTTGTTTCAGGCTTATTAATTTTCACTGAAACTTTTATTTCTTAACAACAAGATCACTTTTGAAAACTAGACTTCAGGTGAAATCGCTTTTTAAATCTCTAAAGCAGGCAAGATATGCAGTGCAAGAATGACTATTGAAAAAAAGCTTGATTTTTTTTTAATTCAAGCATGCTAAGACTCTTTTATGCAGATAATTCATTTATGTATGTGTTCTTTTAAGACATAAAAACTCCATACAAAAATAAAACTCCACAAATATAAAAACTTGAACCAACGAGCAACAATGACTGCCTGTATCATAAAATACGTAATTCAACATAACTCAGATACTGATAATCAAGCTTCTTGCATCTACAAAGGCTAAGTGGCATAGCGGGTGGGAGGAAGAGCTTAACAGGAGGTTAACATATGCCCAGCAGATCACAGAGGGAAGTATGCTTTTCCATAAGAAAGGTTGGTTGACGGAAAATTTGCAACTTGTTAGCCTGGATACTTCAACTGTCCATAAATGCTTCCAGCTACTTGAAACATTTCTGTGAAGCTAAAATGACAGAATTTTGCATCTAAGGTACCTCTGTTCCTTCACCATACTTCTTGCGCTTCAGCAGAGTTTTTACAATTATCTAAAACTGTGTATGTTGTTAAATCTTACTTCTCTCTACAAATAGAATACTGCTTATAAGAAACAACTAGTGGAAAATATTAATGATTTAGGATTTTTGATAGCTACTTTCATTAAAATATAAAGATTCATTTAAATAGTCAAAAAGTCTTCAAAGAAGCCTAAAAATGCTTTCTCATGAAAGAGAAGAAAGCTTAATTTGGTCTTATTTATTGGAGGGAAAAAAAAGCAAGAAAAACAATGACTTGCTGGGGGAAGAGGTGGTTTGAGAGATTAGAACATACTTGAAAAGGCTTGAGCAGAAAAGAGCTGTGGAAAGAGCTATTCCAATTTTGAAAGTTTTAGATTTAACTCTTCTAGCCATTTTACATACCCCTCCAAAAATCTTTTACATTTACTAGTGCTGTTCCACAAATGGTACTTACAGACAAAACCTGCTCTAGGGAAGTAATTTTCTACCCCATGTCCTGCTCAGCTACGCTTTTTATTTCTTAGTCCCACAGAAAGCAGCACCATAACTCTGAACAGGTCTGTAAATTCGTACCCGCTGACCTTTAATGAGTGTTTGTATCACTTCTTTGTGTCCCATCTCACAGGCTCGGAAAAGTGGGGTATGTTTCATCACATCCAAAGCATCTACCTGCGCATTATGTTCCAACAGCAATTTCACTGTGCTGACGTGGCCAGAAAGGGCAGCAGCATGTAACGCTAAAAGAATAAAGTAGTAGGAAAAAGAAATCACAATATCATGAGTTTCGGAGGTTCACAATTAGAACAGTCAAAAATTCATTTCAATAAAGAGTGCTTTTCAACCACAAGAAACTGAAGAATCGTAACAAGTGATCACTAACCACATTTTCTTGTCATACAGGCAATAAGCAGAAAAAGTGTTAACCCTGAAACATGTTTCTAACTTGCAGAAATGGAAATTTTAACCTTAACACCACCAAGATTGGCTTAGACTGAGGATTTGTGGAAGGTTAGCAGCTTCTGATTAAGAGAACATAAAATGATCTACTTCTGCTGCTGTTTTGTGGGATTTCTTACATCACCCCAACGGAGATGAAACTGCCCATTGCCGGTGAAAGAAAGCTTTCATTATTTCTTCAATGTTCTCCTGAAATACCATTTTTTTCTTTCAGATATGCAAAGCTGTCTCAATTAAACCTAACCACTAAGCACTCAGCTGGTTTTAGAGGGGTTTTTTTTCATAGTGAGTTGGAAAAAATTTTACACAAAATTATGTAGCAAGGCCATCACATCTCACACAGTTCCTGCTGCTTCCTATTTTCTTCAGAAAAGAGAAAAAGATGATGGACAGACCAGATACCACATTTTGTCTCTTCCCTACAATTTATGAAACTTAGCTGTATGAAAAATATGCAAAGTTGATTCTCCAGGCTCCTACTCTTCTGTAGTTTTCTTTGCCGCCTTATCTCTGAATGTATCCAGACTTTGCTGAGACCAAACCAACAGTAGAGAGCTACATTAGCAGAGTAAGACCTCAGAGGTAAAGACGTGGTGTCCTACAACTGAAGTTGCTGTGGGATCACACAGCATCCTACAGGCACTTTCAGCTGGACTGGGGGAAAATGTTGAAATGCCAGTCCAACCAGTTCAGTGTTCTTTTTGAAGGAAAGGCAAACAACACACACAGCAATGAGATTTCAAACCAATGGAGGACACATATATGGGTGATTTCACTTATAATTTGATTTCAAAAAGACTCTGGATTATTTCCTATAGTCATATATTCCTATCATATCAGATAATCTACATTCTCAGAGGCATACTGCCTTACATCTAAACTATTTCACAGATGACAATACCCAAATAATTTAGAAGGAAAATACAAACCAGTGCAATTCATAAGTGCACAGTTAGTAGAGTGAATTCATATTTCCCTGTGAAATTTCAAAAATATTTATCCTCGGTAAGGATTCAATTTGCTCAAACAAGCAAAACGTGGGGCTCTAAACAGTACCTACACATCTCTACTTGTTTAATACTAAAACTGACAGGCTCAGGATCCAGCAGAGGCGTTATACAGAAAAGCACACCACGAAGGCCAACGTTAGAAGGAACTGCTTCTTGAACCATAGCCAGCATATCAAAACAGTCAGGCTTCTTCTATTTGCCTGCCTTCTATTTACCACTGGTACCAGCTTCGCACAGCTCATGAAACAGTCACCCAGCACAACCCGTTACACGGGCACTACTAAAATGCACAGGTCTTTCCTACTGCCCGTGAATCAAACCCAGCTGAACTGCATTGCCTGAACACTGATTCTCAAAATTAGTGATAGTAACTAGAACTGTGATACAGATAAATGAGGTGCTTCCTGCAAGAACTGGAGTCACAGCCAGAGACACTATGAGAAGTGCTACCTTAGTAATTGAAATCATGCCTTTAAGATGACACTGATGTTTAACTATCAATCACAGCTAAAAAGCACAGGGGCACTCATCACGCTCGGGAAAAATAACTGTAAGTGGCAAGATCTGCGGTAGCTAGGCGAGTGAGTGGCTATCAGTAGAAATTTGATAAGAATGAGATCTCTGATGCTTTGTACATTTGGATGGGCCTGGTTTTCATGGTCTGACCTCACAGTAAACTCTAGGTTCTGGTTTTTGTACTGTGTTTCTTATGAAACCAAAGGCAGTAAACCACTTCATCAGATGACACATGGGGTGTGTATAACAATACAATAGAAAAAGAGCTGCTGTGTCAGCTTGGCTGGTTCTTCCCCCCTATCACTCATTCTGACGCAGGCATCTTGTTTCGCACTTTGTGCTCAATATTTTCTTGTAAGCCAAATTTTCTGTGATGGAGTCACGGTGACTGAAGAGATTCTTTGGCCAGCTGGTCACAATAGGCCCTTTGTTCAGCCGACAGACAGAACCCTCTCCATTGTGGGCAGTGACGGCAGAGCTATAAAGCTGCCCCTGTAATGCTCCTGCAGCGCTGATCTCTGAGAACAGGGAAATTCCTTTCCCTTGGTGTCATTCTCCTACACAATACACGGAGAGTCTCGATGTTCTAGCAAAGCTGAATGGAGAGCTTGCTCTTTTTAAGTAAATGCAAAAGGCTGCGTTAATGCAACATTATAACTGAGCTTAACTGAGTCGCCACACAAAAGTCAGAAAAACACAACCTTGAACTTTCCTCAGCAACTGTATCCCAGGCACAGAGGCATGTACGCGATTTTCTATTACTGCAGTTTCCCGTCAGAATACAACACTACTTTTCCCTCACCAAAATTTGGGAATGATTAAGAACCTTTGGGGGAAAAAAAAAAAAAAGGTCTGAAATCAGAGAGTGGTTTACTGGTAGGCTTCCTTTTAAGTTTATAGCTCACTATAATAAAGCCCATGCTACTGCACATGCTTGTCCAATGGTAAAATTTGGATTGCTTGATAGCAAGCAACAAACTGTGTAGTTCCCCACTTTAAGACCATTAGTCTGATCTACATAACAGCTGTTTCAAGTAAGTGGAAAATCCATTCATTTCCTTGTATTTAAAAGCCCTACAACAAAATCAAGATTAAAAGGTGATTACATATCACTGCTATGAAAGGTTTAAGACCGAAAGATAATAAACCCAGCCACCTGAATTATTCAAGCGTGAAATCCACACCCAAGTAATTTCAGAAACACAGTATGTGATTACTGCCTGCAAAGAAGCAAACCCTTTGTAAGGAGGTTTGCACAGTGACTACAACATTACTGCACCTGAAGGTCTGAAGCAAATACCGTGAGGTATTTGAAAGGGAACTGTCAGAAAGGAGCAAGTGTAGGTGAAACTGATAAAAGATGAAACGACTAAAATGACAGAGTATGTAGTTTGGAAAGTCATCGAACATGAAGACTGAGATTTTATTTCTTGCACTATTTCTTAAACTCAATAATTACAAACTATCATAACTTGGAAAGACTGATTTTTGGGTCTGTTAATTTGTAAGGAAAGCAAGAATTTAGATATTTAAATAGAATTTTATGGTAACTGTGTTTGGCTTTTTGTGTAAAGACCCCCCCATATAGCCAAACAAAATAACTTTTTTTTTTTTTATATGAAAGTAATATTCATACATGCTGTCTTTCAAATCCCGAACCACGCAGCCCTGACATTGCATTTATTTACCATATGCATGCAATTCCAAGTGTGATCTGAAAAGAGAAAAGCCGTTAAACTCATATCTTTGTTTCTTGGTTGGGGTAGATCTACACTGCAAGTTCCCTAAATCAAGCACGCACCTTAGGCTAGTGAGTGTGCAGCCAAAAGATAATGCTTAAGTATACCTTAAAACAAATATTTTAAAATTTATATAAACATACATTGCAATATACATTCTTGTTTGTTTAAAATAAGATCGTTTTCTTTTCAGAAGAAATGCCCTCTACTGTATTATTCACAGGTGTGTGCTTTGACTATCAGCTTGGCTATCATTTTACTACTTATTATACATAGCTGTTGTCATTTAACCCGGCAGGCAGCTAAAACAACCGTGCAGCCGTTTGCTCACTCCCCCTTGCCTTGCAGTAGGATTGGGGAGAGAATTGAAAAGAAAAAGGTAAAACTTGTGGATTGAGATAAAGACAGTTTGATAGGACAGAAAAGGAAAAAAAAAAGCCAAAACCAAAACCAGTGATGCACAGCACAATTGCTCACAACCTGGAACTGATACTCAGCTGGCTCCTGAGCCACACCACCTCCCAGCCAACTCCCCAAGTTATACATACTGAGCATGACATTATATGGTATGGAATATCCCTTCGGCCAGTTGGGATCAGCTGTCCTGGCCCAGCCCCCTCCCAGCTTCTTGTGCACACCCAGCCTCCTTGCTGGTGGGCCAGTATGAGAAGCTGAAAAGTCCTTGACTTAGCAACAACTAAAATATCAATGTGTTATCAACATTATTCTCAGCCTAAATCCAAAACACAGCACCATACCAGCTTCTCATAAGAAAATTAACTGTATCCTAGCTGAAACCAGGACAATAGGTATACATTTCTGCACTTCTAAATTTGTGACCTGGCTGTGACTGGCACAGGGCAGTTCATGACCTCTTCCCACACAGCTTACTCCTGCACCCCTCTGCTACCAAGCCTCTCTAATTTATACCCAATATATCCACATTCTCCTCTTTTTTTTATTCAGGTGTCATCAGCACACTATACAGCTCCACAATGTGTACACATGTATTTCCAACACTGTTGAATATATGTACCCTTCACCACCTCTCTCTCTGTCAGAACTGTTATTCTACTTTTGTTGAAAGTACTACATAGGTACAGTATTTCTACCACAAATTCTTATAATTTTTCATTAAAGGAGATAAAGTCACAGTTGTTATAAGAAATTTGGAATTTCATGACTTCCATGCTTGAATTCTGAAACACTGTGTGGCATATCTTTTGCTTCGGGCAGATTATGGGATGATTAACCTGGGGGTTATCAAGTTTAATCTCTTGTTTGGGCAAAGAAGTGCAATAGCTCTAATCTTTACTACAATATCTTTACAAGTAATCACAGTACTTACAATTTTCATGATGATAATTTAGCTACTTCACTGGTTAGTTTGCTCTATATTATTTCAAAGTATTTTTTTACTGACAATTTTTTTTTAACGGGCATTTTCAGGAAGGGCTTTTTATGCAATTATATTTCATTTTATTTTTCAAAACACAGAACAGTTCTTCCTTTCCCAGGATTACAGATCCAACTAAAACAGCAGGAGAGCAGTACATTTCTTCTTGAAATCAACTGGTCAAATCTGCGCAGAAAAGATTTCTTTCTTTCCCGCAATAAGGCAAAGAAGTGACACACACGTAATTAAACTAATGCAGAAATATTTTCAGGATTAAGGTACACATCCAGGAAAAGATTAATATAGCTTCTAACAATGTTTTTTATTTGGTGGAAATCACACCAACTGGAAATATCCTGCCGCACTTTATTGTAAAGCATCTTACCTGTGCCAGCATATTTGTCTGTCATATTGATATCAATATCCAATTTTAAAGCCAGCATAGTCCTAATGACATCATCACTGCCTTTGCCAGCTGCCCACATGAAGGATGTTCTTCCCTCAAGATCAGAGTCATCTTTTACAGAAGGATGTTTCAAAAATACTTCAACTGTTTCCTGAAAAGACATACCATTGAAATTAACATTAAAAGGAATCTGTAACAAGAAGAAACTACTGTGTCTCATTTACCTGTTTGTGAGGCTAATCAAAGCTTCAATTTTCCTTTTTATGTTTATATAGAGTAATAGCTCAACAGGACCACTGTATTTTCTGCTATGCCCTTTTCCTTGTCAATGTTCATAGCGCAACCTTAACTATGAATTTAACACTGTCATTTTTTTCATACTTTTTTTCTTTTTATTGTCAAACATCATATGTTCATCATAAGGAAATAAGTGACACTACAGTCACTGTGAAGAAAGCAATGAAAAAAATATTGGCTTATCAAAATATTAGTGTAATACCATGATGTTAAAATAATGTTCCTTCAAAATATTCTCCTGATATATTTTTTGCTCCAGTTCTAAACATGACTGCACATGCAAGTATTTTAGCTTGCTAAACTCTAATAATTTGACTATTAAAAAAAAAAAAGACTTCTGGGGCAACATAGACATATTTCCTAATATTTAACAGTATCAACAAGTTACTAAGTCCACTTGTTTAACCTGCTGCTAAATTCTTAAGAGGCCATGCAGGAAAAGAAAGCAGAGAAAATCACTACTGTGGGAAAAAGAATTAGGGGAAGATTTTCCCTTTTCTATCCAATCCCTTACAAAGGCTGTGTATTTAATAGCTGGTAAACATCTCTTCAGAGCCACTGATAGACTAGCCAATAAAAACTGAAAAAAGTGGGTTTCGTTATTTTGTTTTATTTTATTTTTATATTTTAGTGTTAACACTAATCTATCTTTTCCCCCACGTGACCCCAAAATAGGTCTATCACTGCTCTGGGTACAATGAGAATTCCTTGGCTATAAGGAATCAAATGCTTATAATCACAAAGGTGTTTAAATGCCTAAGTCCTAATGACTAATTTGGATTTTTTTTTAACTACTACTTACTATTTCATCCCTCTAAAGAAATAGGATTTTTCTCATTTATCTAATGTTAAGGTGATCTAAGATCAGAACAGCTTTCTGAATTTGGGTCCATATCTGAACTACCAGTTTATTGTAAAAAGGTCCAGCCAAAAATAATAAGGAATGGAAGCATTAAGCCTCCCACACAAACCAGCATGTGTTTATAGCTTTGTGTACTCACACTGACCACCACTACACCTCAGATACAAACGGCTACTCATTAGGCCAGCAACTCAGCACCCTACCAGTACTCTGCACTGCTTGAAATCCTGCAAAGTGAAAAGCAGTATGAATGCTGGACCTTTTCAACACTAAGGTACACAACCTACAAACATAAATAAGTAATTTTATTTTTCCATTAAGTTTTAGCAAAGCAACCTTTCTTTCAACCACTCTTTTTTTCTAGAGTTTATAGAAAATAAAAGAGTTATTTTTCCCAAATGAAGTTATCACAACTTGAAAACAAAATGAAATTAATATAGAACAGGATGGTTAAGAAATCAGAATATAAAAGTATCAATCACTTTAATTCTACATGTATTTTGTCATGAAAAAAATGCATGTATTTTATCTCTATTTAAAAAAATGGAGAAAACAAAACAAAAAATAACAAAGCCGAAAAATAACAGTGAAGGAGAGAATAAACCTGGATCATTTCATTCTGTGCTATCAAGAAACTCTGAAAAATACTAAAAATTATTTTTGGATATTAAAAAATCAGACATGTGTATCCACATTTCATTTACAAGATCAATCTATATAAGTATGTGAAAGGGAAGTACATTGTCTTGGACATCTCTGGAAAAATTCAGAAAAAAAAAAAAATTAGTCCTGCATTCTGCATCCTAAAATCAATACTAATAGAGCATCTGCTTTCACACATGAAGTTCAAAAAATTTTAAAGGATGTTTATTTGGACATTCTGTGGGATACATAAGCCATATAAATTTCAGGCAACTTGGGGTGGTTATATTAGGTAAGTTCTTCTAGAACTTTTCCTTCTATAATAAGCGGGGATAAGCTAGTCTTAGAGAACAAATGTGTCAGCTAAGTTAAGTGCCAGCTAAGTCTCCTCAGTCTTTAAAAAGCAAAACCATCATATTAGAGTAAGTAACCCACAGAAAAATAGAACAAACAACAAGATACCCAGTTAAGTAACACTGAAAGCAGCACAAATATTTATAATAAACACAAAAGAGCAAAGTTTCTTCTTCTTGTTAGGGACTACGAAGCATTTCATTTTAATTGAGAAACATGCCACACCTATCCAAACTTGGGCAGTCTGAACAGAGCAATGACATGGCTCTCAAAACATAAAGATACAGATGCTACTGCCAAAACAAACACAGATGTGTCTCCACTCAGTTGTTTGACTATATATATGGATGCAGTGGTGAGAATTTCTCAAGGATTTATATGTGATAGAGGAAAAAAAGCAAACAGTGGTGTTCAGAAACAACAAAAGAGAGAAGCTCCAGACATAATTTAGGCACGCATAAATGGAGGCTTTTGAATACATCATCAGCTAAAAGAGGCTTGCAGATCTGAATGGGACTCTCCATTGATCAAACTCCATTACATGAAGTTTGATTCTTCATGTAAGATGGGAAATGGTCCCTTCATTGTAAGTACGTAAGATTACAAAAGAATGTCTGATTCCATCACCTACTCTATTTCCCCATAAAAACCTAAATGATATCATAGTTTGGCTGGCTGGTGGGATCAAAAGGCAGCAACATAATGAAGATGTTTCATACAACTGAATCAAGCCCAGAGAAAGAAAGCCAGTATGAAAACCCATTGTTTAGGAATGTATCAATATAGAAAAGAAAAAAAAGATAAAAGCACGTGGAGATAATCACCAGATTGTAAATAAAAACATTCTATCTTTCCCATGAGTCTGACTCAAACTAGAAAGAAAGGCTTTTACGACATAAATATTTTAGGTGTGTGAGTCAGACCCAAATCGTACGTACCACGTAATGGACAATAATCAGCATCAATAAAAAAATTCTCTAAAAAGTTGTAAATTATACACAGAGTTATGCTCCAATGAAAGTCTGAATTTAAAAAAATATCTGTATGGTCTTACTAAGACCACCTCCAAAAACCCCTACCAAAACCCCAAAACTCAGTCTCACACAGAAACAGAGGATGACAGCTGTGGTATTAATATACACTGGTCAGTTCCCTCTTTCAACAATACTTCTGGATTTGTTAACTTGAATCATTCTCAAGGGCATTAAAATTTTACTTGTTCTATGAAAATTAACATGTGGGTAGGGAAGAAAGACCCAAATTAGTATCCCTGTTAAGAAAATGCTGCAATATGCACTACATAACTACATTCATTAAGCACTAAATAACTCTTTTTGTAAAGGGAGGTTATGAATAATACAACTGAAGAAAACTTAGATGGGAGCTCTCAGCTTACTATGCATGGCATAATTCAACTATGTGTGACAGAGCCGCATGAAAAAAGCCTTCTTAAGTTCCAGTGCTTGAGAACTACTTCTATAATAACATCTGAGAACTACTTCTATAACAACATCTATAACCAGCAATCATTAAACTGCTGAGTTTTATACTTAGCTCTCTGATCTTGCTCTGGAAAAAAGTTACCTATTCTACCAAAATATAAGAATTAGGTTGTCTGAGAAACCAATTTTCTTTGTTATCTGAATTTAAAAAATATTTTTAAAATATCAAAAACTTTTAAAAACTTCTTAAAATATAGTGTTCATGGAGAATTGTAACAAAAGGTACGTCCTCTTTAGCCATGCTTTATGAGACAATGGCCCATTCATAATAGCAAATATTAATAAGTTAATCACCTTCTTGAAGTCAAAGACTGGTTTGACTGGTACCGAAGCAGCTGTGCAAATACTCATACAGGTGATCTTATAACTACTTCGATTTTGCTATAACGAGCCTTAAAAAGTAAAAGCACTGTAAAATAGTAGGTGCCATTCTGCTTTCTACTGAAGTACCTAAATGACTATTGTGTGTGTTGATGTAAACATATACATCAAAGGGCTTTTCTTTCTACAGCAATTTAGTTTTTTAAAATCTATTTTTAATAGTTTGTAATTAACCACATTTATATCACATAACATAGGAAAACTCTGAATTAAGCTTGTGCAGACAACACTGTGTTTATATTATTTTAAAAACAACTTAAACACTTCGTTACATTATAAATATTTCAGCAAAATATATTTACTTCACATTTAGGGTATGTGCTACTTACAGCAAAGTTGCTCTGTGCTGCATAATGTAGGGGTGTTGCACCTTGACTATCAGATGGGATAGTTCCAAACTTATTTCTTTCTAATAAGAGATGGACAATCTGTGCATGACCTGAGAAGAATAATATGACAAAACCAGACATGTATCAAATCCTAAAGTTAAACACTTCCCTATTAAAAAAACAACACACACACACCCAAAAAAACCCCACAAACAAAAAAAAAACCACAAAAGAAAATAAACAGACTTCAATAAATAATAGTACATTTGTGTTGTAGCCATTATAATCTAAACATAAGAGAGAAACATAAGATGTGGTATTTGAACTATTAAGCCTGGCATGCACCTTCTTCCCAATAGTGTTCCAGTTCCACACTCTGTATCCTCATTATTGAGGGGCATCTATAAATCAGAATGACCTATGAATAGGAACATGTGTAAAGATTTTCTATTTCTTTTAAAAGAAATCACTAGATCATTGTCCTAAATAAAGAAACCAGCAGTAGCTGGTCAGACAACTGTGATATTAACATTGCAATGAATGAGTTGAATATTGCCAGAAAAAACTTCTGATAATTCAGCTGAGATGCTTGCTGCATTTGAGTAAGAGGTCAGTCAGAAGAAGTAAAGTGCGCACAGATTGATGGTGATGAGCATTTGTCCATCTACGTTAAAAGGGAGGCTAAACCAACATTGACAATTTCATCCTACATCGCATTGTTTTACAGAAATTAAGAGTAAATTCTTGGGTTTTATGCAATGAAAATTTCAACTGAAGATGTATAGCAGAATCTGGACGCTAGCCTACCACCAGGTGCCATATCTGCAATAAACAACAAACTGACACACACAACTCCTTCCACCAAAACAGATTAGAATGTTTTTAGATTATAATCACAACATTTTGGGGGGATGGGTAAACTTTATATCCACTTCACAGACAAGAAAACAAAGACACAATATAGTCTATTGCCACTAAAGTCAACTGATCCTTTCATATGCTTTCTTTTGTAGGCATATGCAGCTCAGAATATCTTAATGATTTGGTATTTTAAGAAATACCATAAGGCATAAATTACATAAAAATACTCTGATTTTACAGGAGAAATCTCCCAGTATCTCGCATGTGGGGAAAATGATTTTGCAGCTTGTTACTTTTGCACAGTTAACTTGAATTGCTTTAGAACAAATGAAAAAAAAAAGTAGGTAAACCTTTCTACTAGCAATAGACTTTTTTAATGAAAACATCGACACTTACAGAATGAAGCTGTATATCAGTTGTGGTCTGTAGCTTTTAAAAAACCTAGGAAATGGAGGACTAGGCAAGCCTTGTTGTGTGGAATGGCACTTTCAGACTTTACATGTAGAGAAGTATCAGAAACGAGAGAAAATGGTCAGCTTGGGTCAAAAAGGATGAACAGCTATGTAGGGATTATTTTTTCTAGGGGTTTTAGGGTGTACAGGAAGGCTCCTCTTTCAGCCATTAAGACAAACCTGGACACAGAACATCACAACATTCTGTCCCTTCCTACCAGAAAGCCACTAAAAAGAAGAGATGTAATGTTGCTGTGCTCTTTCCCGTCTCAAGGCTATAAGTTAATTGAGCTGCACTGGAAGAAGTTGGTTCTGAGTGCAATCCTAGAAGGAAAAACATGGGAGTACTGAGCCTGGAAAAAACATTGCCTGAACTTTCAGGACACACCACTAGAAAAAGGGTAACCAAACTCTGTAAACAGGACAGGAGGTCTACCTAAATTATCTGTGAGAAAGAAGGCTTGAGGGAGTTGAAAACATTTTTTGTATTGGGTGCAACAGTAAATAAACTGGAGCAAAGATGATCTCACTTGGATGTTAATGTAAACATTAAAGCTCAATTCTTGATATCAAGAACTATCATTTCTGTAGTACTTTTATTTCTAAGAGATATAACTTGGCTGAGAGTTGTATCTACACAAAATAAAAGGTAACAGGAGCAACAATGTCTGAAGGTGCAGTCACATGCAACCCATCACCTTTAACAGAGTATCTGTGGCTGTATCCATGTACTACTTAAAACCTCCTACTGTTAACCCAGTTAGTAACATTTTAGACTCTTTGAGATCTAAATACAGCATCCACTATCTAACTTAGAAACAGAACCCTAAAAATTAATCATTATTTACCAATCAGAAGTTCCCCATGGGCATATGCCACCTAGAGACCTCATCAAGTTCACAAAGGACTCTGGAGGTCTTGGCAGATCTTCCCCCCCCTTTATTCCACATTGATCGGACAAACCATTTTTCCAACAGACAAAAATTCTCTCTTAAATACAATCAATTTCAAAACACGATAAATTTTGCTTCTTGGACAGAACCAAATGATAATGACCATTTCTTTAGGAGACCAATCCTATGACACTTAAAATGTTTCACAATCTCTCTGTAAAAATTCAATATCACTACTTGAATGTAAATGCAAATCTGAGAACACTTTTTTTTTTAAATAAACATAATCAAACTACATGTATATTGTCAATGGAGTTGCAGTAACTCGTTCCAGTGAGCAATCTGATTGTTTTACTGGCATTCTTTGTCTGCAGTGTCCCTAAGGGTCATGGGGATGAAGCCTGTTAAAAGGAGAGAGAGTTTGAATATTCTTTTTATCCAGTACATGGTGTATATTTTTCCACCTGCACATAGAAGAATGGAAAATAGGAGGTCAATTTTCTACATTTCTCTACATTATTCTTGTACCTGTCATTTTATGAGTTGTGTTTCCCTGTATTTAGACTATTTATATTTAATCAGGTTTTTATCTGTTTTGCAGGGATTCAGTTTTGTAACCTGTAAAACCAAACCGTGCAAAATTCACATATGCAAGGGTATAATTTGAGTCTCAGGGTAGCAATCTGAACAGAAAAAAAAACTTTATCTGAATAAAACTTCTTGTCAGATCTGATTAGATTGTCATAAGGTCTCTGATGAAGAGCTTGTACTAGGGGTAGGAGAAGTGTCAGCTCTGCCACTTTCTTTTTGTTCACTTGTGCTGGCATTATCAGATTATCTGCGGTTTTGTAGTTGGTCGACCCTGGCTGGGGGCCAGGTGCCCAC